ACATCTTGTTCCATTTTTGCTACTTCTGTTGCTTTTTCTGACACTTTTTTCGCATATTCCTCTGTACTTAGTTCTTTCAGTTGTTCTTCTTTCTTCTTTTTCTCTACGTTTAACTCATTGAGTTTCTTTGTGTGTCTGTCATATTCTAGTTTCTTTTCGTTTTCACTTATTTGCTTCTGTATGTCTATGTTTGACTTTTTGACATCTGTTATTTGATTTTTGAGTGAACTCAAATTCATTTGACTTTGAGGGTTATAAGCTGTTCCGTCTGCAGCTCCACCATAGCCTGCCATTTTCGCTAAAAGTGCCGCTCTTAAACCTCCACTCTGTGCACCAAAAACTCGGTTTAAAAGCATAGGATTGCTTGACATTTGTTGCAACATAGTGGGGTCATTCAGCATTTGTTGTTGCAACTGTTGTTGTGGTGTCAGTTTTACTATTGGATGTTTCAATGCTCTCTTCCTCTTACGTATATTCTTACGTAGCTTACGTGGCATTTTAAGTGAAGTTAAAAAGCGGTTTTTGACAGATGTTTATATGACACTTTTTGTTCAGCACAAAAAACTACTCGGTCAAAGTGTTGTCAGTTTTGTAAAATAACCGTCCTATCTCATTCTATAAGGGGAAAAGGCTTCTCAAAGTATACTTCCTTGGAACGCCCGTAACTTTTCCTGTAGCGACGATAGACCCTTACTTGTCGGACAAAGTTATACTATTTTGAGTGCTCTACAAAAAAGTCAACGGCTACGACTCTCAAAAACCGTTGTGTAAAAAGTTTTACCGTTGGACAAAAAAGTATATATAGAAAACAAAAACGTTTATAGTTCATTCAATATTTGAGATGGAACGGTTTGCCAACGGTAACTATTAAATAAAATAAAAAAATAGAGGGGGTTACCGTTGACGAAAACGGTTTATTTTAAACTTTTCTATGAGTAGTCCGAAAAAAACAGTTTATTTTTGTCTAATGGAAGCCAACATTAACAATTCTCAACCGCTAACCAAAGCCAAAGCCCCACAACCTCCAAGAACTGGCACAGCTGTTAGAATAACCGCCAAAAAGTCTAACAGCGAATTAAGAGAAATTCTTCAACAAATTTGCTCTAAATATCTCAAAGACGCCGAAGAAAATACACAACCAGACGCTACATACAATACTCAGTTCTGTGAAGTTCTGAACAAAGCAATTGCTAGTTCAATTGAACTTACTAAGACAATTCCAAGTCCAATTGAGCTTAGCGATGTCTTAGTTCAGTATTTTCCAACATTTACTAAGCTTATAATGTTGAGAACTTTATACCAAGTTCGTCAAAATCTTCCTCGTAACATCCAACGGTCATTCGACAAGACAATTGCCGAATTCCAAGTCTTTAGTTACGGATATGACCAAGATGAATACGTTGACGAGTTCGGAGACAACTGTACAAAATGGTTTGAATGCTATACGACAACACAATTTGAATTCGACTTTCTCGAATTCAACGCAGCAACTATTCATATCATTGCTCTTTACCTTTCCGAACAAGAACAAGACCTCGCAGATGGAGATGTTGTTACTGTCGTCATGAAAACTCCTGAACAATTCGGAAAAAAGAAGTCTCTAATTGCCAAATTTGTTCCAGGACATCAGCTTTTCCAACGCACAGAAGTCTTCTGTATTCCTGGAACTAAGTTCTTTGTCAAGAGCGAACTCAAACAAAGATATAATGTGTCATTCAATTACACATTATATAATGTTTTCGACCCAGAAGAAGACTTCTTCCCAGAAGCAATGGAAGAGGAAGAAGAAGAGAAACACGAAGAAGAGAAACACGAAGAGTCCTCCGAATTCACACCAGAAGACTAACAATTTTCCGAATAAAAACCTCATTTTATACTAAACATCTTCGGGGCTAGAAGGGGCGCAGCCCCTGGAAGCCCCATTACCTTTTTTTTTTTTTTTTTTTTTTTTTTTTCATATGGTTTTATGATAGATAAGCATTATATTCCCACTCATTATATTCGTAAATTTTGAGGTTTATCCTTCGCTTTTAAGATCATTGAATTTGATTTTTATATAAAATAGTTATATATTAGAAAATAATATGAGTTTATGTGATATTATTTTTCAGAAGATTTTGTGTTCTTCTTCAAAATTTTATTTTTTTATTAAAAAGAATCTTTACAAAATATACATTTACTTTAATTAATATTTAAAAACGTGCTCTATCAAAAGTTCCAAAAATTCAATATTTTAGCTTTTCTGAGGTGTCACTTTTGATGAATTTCTGTTTACAACAATACATTTAAAAAAACTTGTTAAAAATGAAATTAAAAAATTATGTTTATTATTACGCTGTGAATGTGTCAACAGCGGTCATACCTGTATCTGTATCCCATATTTGCCACAACCTTTCTGTATCTGCATTTGTGTATTTCGGTTTCAGCTGATACATTTGATTTGGCGTGTAATTTGTTCCAGTTAATGGATTAATTGGGAGATCTTCATGCGGTGTGTTATTATTGTACTCCCAAATAAAGGCAGGAATAGCCTGAATGCTTTGGCAGCGCTCCAATGTCGGCCAGAATCTCTCAATCTTCCCATTTTGGTAGGGAGAATGAGAGTCTATATGCCGCCATTGGACGCCCCAAAGATCAAGTAGATCTTGAAAGGCACCCCTATTTTCTGAACCGTTGTCGGTCCAGAAACAATAAGGGGCGCCAAATTCAATGAAGGCGGAAGCCGCAACGTTCGCTGTCGTCGCTGCCAGCATATCTGGTATTTGTGTACACGCTAGGACTTTGCGGCTAAAATCGTCGATTATGCCATAAATATACTGGCCACGAACACCCCTAAAATAATGAACATCTGCGTGCCAGATAAGATTGGGTGAAAGCGCCCAATATCTTACTGCTGTTTCTGGCCCGGCATGCTCTAATCGCGTCTTGGTGAAATGATTTTCTTTGAAGTATCTGCGTACTTCTCTATAAGATACATCAATTTGTTGTAATTTCAAACGTTTCCATTGTTTTGTTTGACCACAGGGAAAGGCCCAGTGGTCATGTATCACAGCAAGAGCTTTGATTTGGTCGTAGGGATTGCCCCTACGACCTTTCTTGCCTTTAGGCAATGGGATATTCTGTAAGCTAAATTGATTTTGTAAAAAAGATTTTGAAACATCTAAATATTTGAAATCATTTGATTGAAGGGTTGGGGCGATGGGAACATGGGTGCAAGCTTCTTCCCATGTCATTTTACCTTCTTCAATCTGATTGGAAATACCAATTAGGTAAATTCGATCGACATACCCTTTGTAAGGATTCATTCTAATGAAGTACGTTAACAATCAAAATATTCTATAAGTGTCTAGTATGGAATTCAAAAGAATAAAGAAAAAGGTAACGTAAATAAAGGTATTATGAAATAATTTATAATTAAAATGAAAAAAAGAAAAAATAATAAGTAAAGTGACTGGAAATGAAAATGAAAATCAGTGTACAGTTTTATTTTTTTCTCGCTGTGAAACGTATTCGGTCATTTTTTTAAAAATTAATTTTTTGTTAGAGATAAGAGCTAAAACTCGGTAAACAACTTCTTTATGTCTAGAAAATTCTATCTTGCCTTTTATTTTTTTCTCGCTGTGAAACGTATTCGGTCATTTTTTAAAAATTAATTTTTTGTTAGAGATAAGAGCTAAAACTCGGTAAACAACTTCTTTATGTCTAGAAAATTCTATCTTGCCTTTTATTTTTTTCTCGCTGTGAAACGTATTCGGTCATTTTTTTAAAAATTAATTTTTTGTTAGAGATAAGAGCTAAAACTTTGCAGACAACTCCCCCATGTCTAGCAAATTTAACATTCGTCTCCCATTTTTATATATTTGGTTTAGAATGTTCGAAAATGCGTAATATGGTCATTAATATTAATTGAAAAGAACCTTGAATTAATTCAATCTGATCTCACAAAATATTTTAAATTACAAACTTTGTAGTTTGAATAGATAATTAGTATTAAACTCAAATAACTAGTTTATTTTTGAATAAAAATTATTTGAATTTTTTCAATTTTGTGAATTTTCCTTCAAAAATCAAGTTTAAATATCTTATTTGCCATATAATTATAAATACAATGAAACATATTCGAAATTGAAAAGAATTACTTTTTCTGTTCTTTCAATCATTCAATTTGAATTTTGCAATATTGGATTTCTCATTAAATAGCTATTAAAAACAACAAGCAATTTAACTTACATTCAAATTTATTTGTGTTATATTCAATCTTCTCAAAACTTATAATTTTCGGCTATAGCATGATTATATGCTATATAATATAATAAACCTATAATAGTATCATTCTTTCAATTATTTGAAGAGAAAACCGAAAAAATCTATTTTCGGTCTATAACATAATAATTCCATAAATGGATAAAGACTAAAAAAAGTTTAAAAAGTTTTGTATTATAATTGTTATCAGTTATACATTTTGCATGATCATATATTGATTGATAACAAATTTCTGTGATTGAAATCAGTGTCAAATGTCAAGCTTTTTCAATGTTCATTGTAAAATTTTACAATTTAATTTTTTTGAATATAAAATGCTGATCTTTTGAACAACTAACACAATAGAATTATTTTTAAATAAAAACAACAATTAAAAAAGTATGTAAATTATTGAAAGAAATAATTCAAATCCGAACAATTGATCATATTTTCATTGATTTCCCTCTAAATATAGAGTATAAAATAAAATATTGAAAGCTATAAGAACTATAAAAATTTGAATACATTTACAATCTTCAATCATATAAATTTGAACAAAGTAATTTTATCAATACTAATGAAACTATAAATGTTTAAACGATATTTTTTTTGTATTTTCAATTTTTTCAAAATTTCAAAAGAATTTGATGATTACTATTGAGAAATTATTATATCTCTACTATATATTCTTTTATTAAGATTTTGGATTTTGAATAATATTCAAAATCCAGACATAGGTTAAACTACTTCATTTCACCATGAATCAAGATCCAAATCAAACAAGCACAAAGCTTAGAATAGCAGCTGCTAAATTCATTAAAAATAGACAGCGTCCAATGACTTCTCACGAAATTGAAACCTTGATTCGTGAAAATGATAAAGAACTCAGCAAGGTAATTAATTCGAAATGTTCTGATTATGTTCGAATTATACTGTCTATAACACAGGACAACAATATTATTAAATTTAGGAGCCTTCAACCAATCCAAGGCATTGATAAGAGATCTACTTTTTACGGTCTTTCTGATGTGAATTATGATTCCACAAAATGGACTGTTGCCAGCAACAAGGTTCCTAAATCCAAGAAATCCCCGGTCAGTTTTCCGGCCACACCTATTATAGAGAAAGAAGAGACTAAACCAGCTAAAATAGAGCAGCCATCAAAGGAGTCATCACTTGTACTTCCTCTAATTGATGACGTTCACTCATTTGATAGCATTTTTGAGGATTTCAAGTCAAGCCCATTTGACTCAAGCTTATACATTAACTACTTTGTAGAGGAGTCGGAATTCTCATGCATTGGACTATGAGAATAACTGCGGAAAAAAATTGTTACTAATTTTTCTTTTATTTGGTAAAAATGTAAACTATCTATAACTTCTTAATCATTTATGGTAATGGTTTTGTCCAGAAGCATTGAAAATGAAATAAAAAATTAACTTGTTTCAAGCCTTTGGTATTCTCTTTTATGAGACGTCTCATTAGCGATTATATCTGATAAACTAGCATTATGCCTCCTGAGTTTTGCACATATCCCAAAACTGCATAAAGAAAAATCGACCATTACTCAGATCTCTATCAAAGCATTTTCTCCAATTCCACTTTTGTTTCCTTAAGAGCTCAGATTTAATAAAACTCCAGATTAAATGGTATTACGAGAATTCCTGGGAATGAATATTTATTTTCAAAAAAATCAAACTTATAACATGGACTATTTTGCACAATAAACAATAGTTCGCACTATTCCATAGGCATTTATCTATTCCAAAAAGCATCGGCGTTATGTCAGATCTACTCACATTATAATCCTTGAGCTAGAAAGCACCATTACATCATTCCTATATTATTCTCTTTTCCGTAAACAAAGTTCGTGTATTGAATTCCTTTAAAAACAACAAATTTTTATAAAATTTCAATTTAATCAACAAAAAAATAAATAAAACAAATAAAAAGATAGAATTATTCGACATTGAAGTGCACACGAGTGAATGGAAATTCCACAGACTCATCCACGGTGACAGTTTGTCTCTCCCACCCTTCAGTGTTAATTTTCTCAACGAGAGATTTTGCGCTGAAGCAAATTCTGAGGTCCAGGAGATCTTTGACTTCTGTTTCGTACATTTGTTCGAATTTCTTTGTATCGTTAATTATCGGCATAAATTCATCAGATCTCTGATTTTTCAACAGCTCGAAAACGCAGGCAAGCGACAAATCAGGTGCTATGTCTCTATGTATCTTCGGGTCATCGCATAAAGAGCTGCTCATCATCAAAACCTGCGATACTTCCTTCAAAAAAGGTAATTCGATGTTGTTTTCTTCGAAAATTCTGGTGCAGAAGCTGCTCCAAGATATGGCGTTCTTAAATGTACACACGGCTGGATTGTTTATGATCTTCAACGCCAGTTTTTTATCGAATTGTTTCACGGAATAATTCGATACTAAGTCTGAGAAAGCGTTTCCACGAGCTTTCAGCTGTGCATATCCCTCTGAGAATGACTGTACAACTGTTTCGAACAGTTCCGGCGTGTTTTCGAGAGATGTTGCAACAGAAGATAAAATCTCCGACTGTTTGTCCGCTTCCATGAGAAGGAGACGCTCTGCAAGTTCATTAAGTCTTGCAGTGAAGTCGAAAAGTCTATTTGGAAGCGCGTCAGAGATTTTTGGAAGTAATGCGGCCAAATGAACAATGGCGACGAACAAATCGAGCTTTGTGGAGTTCTTTATGATGATTCCATCTTCGATGAGTTCGATAAATCGCTTTGTAAACGATGTATAGCCATTTTCCGAGAAAGGCAGCTTTTCCAGAATCTGGGAAGCCTCGATTGTTGAGTATAGTACAGCGGATATCTTTGGGAATGGTGCCTCTTTGATTGGAGACTCATGCCATGTATGAGATAGCGCTGCACGCATCAAATTTCGAGATGCAGGCATTGTTAAGTAGACTTTTGTAGTTGTATTGATTGAATCTGGCTCGAGATGCGATGGTTCTTCGGAGTCTTTCTTTGGTTCGCTCGTTTGTTTCGATTTTAAGTAATCTGATAAAATATCTACTGATTTCTCAGGAACTTTGTTCTTTGGAGGCATATGGTTGCGATGTATGACTGATCCGTGTCGCATTCGAGTCTGTACACGCTCTTTGCTTTGAATTGCAAAGGCAGATAAACCTGAATCGGATTCTTTCGTCTTATCTCTGTGTTGAGTGGCCATGAAATCCTCGAGAATGTGCTTATCATCATTGTTGACAACTTCTGATACATCCCAAACGTTTGTGTTATCTGTTTTAAGGCTCATTGTTTCGGATATTGTTGTCAAAGAGGCATCTGATAATGCATGGCCAGACATATCTGTCATTCCCTTCTGTACTTGCATTAGTCGAAATGTAATTACGATTTGTGACTTCTTTCTGTGTGGAGATTCTAATGTAAATGTTCCAGCCATCGGATTTGTTATTCCGTAGAATTTAGAGAAGTTGATAGTGATTTTGCCAAAAAGTTTTTCTGTTGAATCAGGGAAAATACGCCAGACTTTAAAAGTGATCAGTTTTTCTCGAACCTGTCCATCTTTTTTAGATACGTACATAGTTGCATTCACCATAAATCGTTTTTCAAACGGAACTACATTGTCTTTGGCTGGAAAAATCATATTAGTTTCTCCATATTTGTCGCCACGTTGCCATTTCACTTGAAATGACTCGTTGTATTCTTCAGGTAGGATGAGAGAATGAACTGTAAAAACAAGAGAGTTTGGTAGTTTGTTGTAATGAAAAGAAAACATGATAATGAATTGAAAAATTGACCGAGAAAATTTTGGTTAAAATTTTGGCTAAATTATAATATACTGTAAGTAAACATCAAGACTAATAGTATTGTCAATTCTGACGGTTTTTATTCAAAACTTTGTCTAATTATTTGATTCTCGATGTATAGCAATAACTATTATCTCTGCTTGTCTGGTTTGTTTTTATCAGCTTTTACTTGAAAATAATAACATCGAAAAAAAATATTGAATTCAAAATGAGATTTCTGATCATTCTTGGCAGATACTCCCTATGTGTACAGTATTGTAGTGACATGATAGCTATTAGCTATGAATGAACATCTCTTCATTGTATAAAATTAACACTAATATTATATTAATATTAATATTTTCAATGGTTTGAATGAGGATCTATTTAACATACATGATTGTATATTACATATATAATCCAAAAGAAAAACTTCCATATATTGAGATTATCAATATCATGCATTTATTGTGTTTTGATGTCAGGGCTTTATGGATGTTATTACATCGTATTATAGAGGGAAATGTTTCTTCAAATATGCTATAATAAGTTTTTCCAATTATTTGCATTAACTATATTTAACATGAAGTCGCCCTGGTAACTTAGATAAGCAAAAGTTCATATGATTAATACTGTCTTCTATTTTTAACTGAAACAGACAATTTTGTTTTCTTGACTGATAGGAAAACTTCGATAACTATTCAAAAATTGAGAGAAAGATATCTGACAGAGTCTTTCAAAAATTCATCCACGAATCTTATAAATCATCTAATACCATGTAAACGTTCTGATTTTTAAAATAAAAACGCCAGTGTAAGAAAAAAACAATTATTTCAATGTCAATACCTCTGCTATCTGGTAAACTTAAACGTCGATATGCAGAAGCATCAATGTGGAAGCAATGTACGTGTGAACTATATCCTACAAAATTGCTAATTTTATCATTTGATGGCAAGCAAGTAGAAAAAGAAATCCCAATTAACGGATTAACTGAGATTCATTTTGAAGAATCACCAGATTCTAGAGTTTTTACATTAGGAATTGACAAAAATGTCTGCAGTTTCCAGGTAGAGAATATAGAAAAGTTACAAGAATGGAAAAAAATGATAAAATACTTAACTTTCAAGAGAAATAAGTACTCAATCAAAGATTTTGTTGTAGAAAAAGAACTTGGCGCGGGCTTTTTCGGGCATGTTCTCCTAGTTAGGCACAAACAAACTAAAAAACTTTACGCATTAAAGTGTTTGAGCAAGAAATTCCTAATCAATGAAGATCAAGAAGATAGTGCGAAGACCGAACGAGATGTTTTGATTATGGCAAGACACCCTTTTGTCGTTAAAATTTGTTTTGCTTTCCAAGATTCATCACAACTTTACATTGGACTAGAATACATCAGTGGTAGATACCTTTTTAGACTTATTCAAGAAGAATATAGCATCACATTACCGGAACTTCGATTTTATGTTGCAGAAATTTCTTTAGGCCTTGAACATTTGCATTCTCAAGGAATTATTTACCGAGACTTAAAACTGGAAAACGTATTAGTTTGTAAGAATGGACATATCAAACTTTCAGATTTCGGACTTGCGAAAAAATTACTAAATTACAAAGGAGAATTAACTAAAACAGATACATTTTGTGGAATAGATGAATACATTGCCCCAGAAATGATACTTGGAAAACCATATGGCTTTGAACTCGACTGGTGGTGCCTTGGAATTTTGATGTATGAACTTTGTTTCCATGAAACACCATTTGTTGGCAAAAATGGAAAAGAGACATATGATAGAATTATGAAAGAAGAACCTTATTTCCCTGCTGCAATGCCAGAAATGCCGAAAAATTTAATTAAATTATTATTAAATAAAAATCCGGCCAAAAGAGCCAACTTCGAAACAATCAGAAATCATGAGATGTTCAAAGGAGTTGATTGGGAGATGGTTCAACAGAAAAAGTATGATGCCATTTATCTTCCACCACAAACAAAGCTCAAACCTAAAAAAGCAAAGCCATTGAAGTCGGAAAGGCGACTGACAATGGTAATGGAAAATGATGCATTCGAGAATTTTACTTTTTGTGGGGAATTGTGAGAAATATTGATCGTTGTATGTTTTACTTACATCGTTTTATATATTAATAAACACTGTTTTTAGTTCTTCAATTTATTTTGGAATTATCGATCATCGATCAAAATTTAAAGAAAAGAGGATCCAACAATTTGGATTTCTATATATCATTCCGCAGTTTTATTCAAATTTATTGAATATTTGAGAAGATAGCGGGAATAAAAATAAATATGATTGAAGTCAACTAACCAAATTATAAATTTACCATATAGAAGTGTTAATACGAAATTTCATATAAATTTGATTTGTAAAAAATTTTCCTTCACCACATTCAAAAAATAAAAAATTGTGAAATGATCGATCATACTTCGAAAAAAATATATTAGTAATATTAATGTATGTGGTATTATAAATAGTTGTAATTCGAACAAATTGAAAACCTTCAAAATCCATAACAACTGTTGCGATCAAAATTTTTGTCAGATTCACAATTACATATGAGAGCTGTTACAAAACGTCATTTCTCTGAAAAGGAAGATACCAAGTTGTCAAAGCTTGTCAACAGAATTGGAACTTCGAACTGGAAAAAGGTTTCTAAACAAATGAAAGATAGAACTGCAAGACAATGTAAGGATAGATGGGAAAAGTTCTTAGCTCCTGAGTTAAACAGAGGTCCTTTCAATACAGATGAAGATAATTTGATCCTAGAAAAATATGAACAATTTGGACCTCAATGGACAAAAATAGCATCATTCTTATCAAAAAGATCAGACGTTGCAGTCAAGGCAAGACATAAATACCTTATAAGACATAATATCAAAAACACAAATGAAAAAATTAATATTTCGAATGATACGAAACAGGCTGAAGATCTAAAGAACGTAATGATAGACAATAGCCAGCTTGGAGAATTGAGCATGTTTGATGAATTTGCCTTTAATTTAAACGAAGCTTTTGGTACCTTAAATTTTGATTTATAAAGAATAGAACTATTCTATTCATTGTTTTATTATAAAACTATTCATATTTTAAAAATGTTCTTTATATCATGAATTTATAAGAAAAATATGTTTATTCATATCATTTGAAATCTCTTAATAAAAAAAAGATATTTTTCGGATTGGAATTAAATCGTTACGATTATGGTCTGTGTATTTTCCAACTCTGATAAAAAACTAAAAACTAAAAAAAAATAATAAAAATTGTGGTTAGTACTAATCATTAGTTAAAATTAAAAGATTTATGAGCTAAAATTAGTTAAAAGTTTATAATTTATTTCGAAATTCTATATTGATTCCAAAAACTCCGAAATTTGAACATTCAATAAATTAACTATGTTTGTATTTATTGTTCTAATGCTCATAATCTATTAAATCCCTTTTTTCATAATTCGATGTAAAAAATCAAATAAAAGCTTTACCGCTATAAAAATTTCGAACTACATAGCTCAGTAATGCTGAAATGTCAATAATATTCAAATCATAAATTTTGGAATTATTGGGTCAAATGAAAAAAAATAACTACAAATTCAATTACTCATAGTAAATAATATTTTAAGGGTGCACCCGTATGTACGTTTATTTGAGAGGAGGAGGATTACCCTCTCAATTTTGAGGGATTCGTTAGTTTATTTTCTCGATGAATATGCAATAAAATTTGATTTTTACCTTATCAATATACTTCATATAATATACACATGTTCATGTAAAAACTTTTTTCCAAAATCCTCAGGAATTAAGGGATTTTTGAATTTTAAGAATTTTTTTCGAATTTTTTCGAAAAAAAAATATTTTCAGAACAGCCTTAACGGCTAAGATTTAGGAACAATGTTAAGTATCAAAAAGAAAGGAGGTCTGATATAGACAACATATATCGTTTGAAGGTTGAAAAAATCTCTAATATTTGAGCCCAAAATTTCAAATTTTAATTTTTTGAAAAAAGAGGCCACCCGTATGTACGTTTATTTGAGAGGAGGAGGATTATATTTTTGAAAGGGTGAAACATTATGAATATGTTAATTATATAATAATATGTATTATTATAAAAAAGAAAAAATAAAGCACGTTAAAATTTTTCTTTCTTGATTTTTTACAAAATCTACTTAGAATTATGCAAATATGACTAAATAATTATAAATTTCAAGTTAAATTTTAATTTTGATAAATAATTTAAATTTCAAAATATCAAGTTCAGTTCGACTATGTATGTAGTAATTCCTCAATAAAGTGCCAAAACCCTATTAAAATATATGAACATTTTCAACATTTTAATGTTTTTATTTAAAAATTTGATGGAATATGAGCTTCAAACAATTATTATGTAAATAAAAATAATTAAATATATGTATTTATTCGTATTACAACCGTAGTAAGTCGATTCTTCCTTTCTTCTACTGAGGTTTGAATTTGATTTCGAATTGTAAAGAGATTCAAAGAGAAAATACTAGCGGATAAAAACTACCTCCATGAAAGGGTCATAATGGAGTCAAGTTGGATTTTTTGATATTTTTTGCTTTTCGAGCCTAAATAGGTAGCCAAGATAATGCCTAAAAATAAGGTTCTAAATTCTGAAGTTTACATGATCCTCTCGTGTGCACCCTTAAAGAATCTGATGATATCAATATTGAAAATAAGTAATAAATAACAAAATATCATGATAACGAATAATAAACAGGTATTAATATAAGCTCCACCATTGAAGATCTATCAGAGTATTTCTTCATATCAGACTTCAATTTCAGAACTGTTATTTGAGGGGTGATCAATGGTGTTTCTACAGGTGTTAATTGTGGAGTGTTTTGGGCTGTTGTATAAGGTGTTTCAGCTGGTGTAATCGCATTAGTTTGGAAAGGAGTTAAGAACTTTGAAATATAAGGTGTTTCAAAAGGTGTTTCTTTGTTTGTATGGGCGTGAGTGTAAAAAGGAGTTTCAAATGCGGTTTGGAACATTGTTTCTCCCTGTGTCTGAGACATCGTTCCATATGGAGTAAGTACTGGAGTCATATAATTCGTTAAAAACGGTGTTTGAAATGCAGTTGTGAATGGAGTCTCAGCAGCAGTCATAAAATGTGTTTCATAAGGAGTTTCTTTTTGTGTAAAAACTGGAGTTTGGAATTCAGTTATAAAAGGCGTTTGGAAGTTAGTTACAAAAGGTGTTTCTTTGTTTGTAATTTGAGGTGTGAAAACAGGAGTTTCTTGAGATGTTGAATGTGGAGTTTGGACCTGGGTCATATATGGTGTTACTTTAGGTGTCAACGCATTAGTTCTATATGGAGTTATTAAAGGAGTTGGTTGAGCAGTTGCGAATGGAATAAATCCTTCAAAAGGATTAGATTCAAAAGACTTGTAATAATCATTCCTTATTCGGCAAAACCTTTGAGGATCTGGGCAATAAACAGTTCTATCAACATAGTATACATTGTTTGTTTGCCTAAAAGAATAGTTCTGTCCTTCATAGGTACAATTTAATTTATAGATTGTCTTTGAAGGAATATCAGTTGTTAAATCAATAACAAAACTACTATAGTCATCAGCGCAATAGTAATATCCGCATTTATCATAAACTCTATGATTATCCACCATTCCAGGAATAACTGCTTGATATTTATCACAGAAATATACAGGTAAATTATTATTTTGGTAGCTGTAATATGACTTTCCTGGTATTTCATTTCCAAATGGATCATAATAGTCTTTATGTTTGCAGAATTCTAAATTTTGATTTATACTACAATCTATTTTGTTGTTTGTTTCAGGGCAACCCCACCAGTTAAATTCAAATCCTACGCATAATGATTCATTTGCTGGATTGAAAAATGTCCACTTTGGAAGTGTAGAAGCAGGAGGTCCAAGAGGCCAATTTGGAATGAAGTTTCCGTTAACATAATCTTTGTTGGCGTATATCATTGGTTTTGCATATCTCCAGTCAACTTCATAGTTACCTGAATCAAGTAAATATGCCATTGTTACATCTGTGACTCTAGAATAAGGACCGGAATCTCTTTGAAGTCCATTGCATAAAATATCCTGTAAATAAATAATTGGGAGAGGGGATCCAGAAGAATCAACTAATATTCCGGACGGGCATGTAACGTTTCCTTCAAATGTTTCCGTTCCATAATATTTTTTAGCAAATCCATGTGCGTAAGGTGTTGTCAAAACTTTGAAGTCAATTCCATTTGCGTTAAATGAACAGAATGGATTTGGATAATAAGTTGTAGAAAACTTTGGATGCAAATGTGACAAAGTTGGGCTAGTTGTAGTTAATTTACTAAGTATTGATTTTAATATAGAGTAATAAAATGTAGAATTAATTCCTGAATCATCTGATGGATATTGAGGAATACTTGATGGATCCACAAAGAAATGGATTTGATACGTATAATATGAAGGTATTTCATATGTGTTGCCAATTTGAATACTTGAATATCCACTTCCAATTGGCATGCCATGGAAAATAAAATGTAAATCTGAATTAGTAATAGTTTCCCCGCCTTGATATGTATTTGACCATGAGTGTTTGGAAGTAGTTATGCTAGTTTTCCTTGGTATAACTCTTAGAAAGTTTTGCAAATAATTTCTAACATTCTCACATGTTTCATAAAAAACTCTATATTTTTCTGTTGTTATCATATCATTCTCTGTACATGTATGAGTTCCAAATACATTTGTCTTTGACTCTCCAATACTATTGCACATCTCGTTATCAACTATTGTTTTATTTATTAATCTGTAATCATGAGTGATTCTTATTGGTTGGAATCTTTCGTCTATTGTAATAGTTGGTGTTGCTGCGGGTGTCATCATTGGAGAAGGCGGTGGACTTGCAGCTGGAGTTGGTCTTGGTGTTGGGAATAAGACATTTTGGAAAGGGTCACTTGTAAAGTATGAATCCAAAACTTCTCTTGTTCTGCAAAATCTTTCTGGTGAAGGGCATTTAACAGTTCTATTATTATAACAATTAGTGCTATTAATGCACCGTTTAAAATCATGTGTTTGACCTTCTTCAGAGCATGTTATTATCTTTTTTTCTTGTGTTTCTTCATTAACAATAATATCAAGAGTAAAACTTGTATACCTATTGCATTGATAGCTTGAACAATAGTCATTAGTAAAATGTGTTAGGCCAGGAATAGTTGCAGTTCCTTTAGCACAGCCATAATCAGGCAATCTAATAAACTGTCTGTCATAGTATTGGTTCAAACTCCAATTTGTTCCGTTATTAGGGTTGTAATAATCAGGAGCGTTGCAATAGTCAATAGCGCTAAAGTCTGTTTGATTGTCGAGATTAGAACAATTTATTGTCTCATTTGGAATTGAATAAAACCATCCATTGAAGTCAAATGAAATTGTATCATTTGGATCATTCGGATCATAGAAATATTCTGGATATGTTGTTAGAGGTGGAGATATTGGCCATCCTTTTCTGATCACTCCATCGATTGAATCTGGATTTCCGTAAACTATTGGCCTCCCTTTCTTCCAATCTATTTCATAGTTACCTGAATCTAAAAAGAAGGCCATTGTAACATCAGTTAATCTCCCAAATTGTCCTCCAATTGCATTGATACTCTGTGGAGAACCAATATCTCCATTGTAAATTATTGATTCAGATCCATTTGTATAATTGGCAACATTCTCTAGAACAATTCCCGATGGACAACTTGAATCATCTCCTTCAAATTTCTCTACTTTGTAGTGTCTTGTTCCAAAATTATGGGCGTAAGGAGAAACTAAGATACGGAATGTTCTGTTATATTTCCTGAACTCACAGATAATTTCTTCATATGGAATGTTGGTTCGTGCTGTGTGAAAGTGCTTGTATAGTGATGGACTCATGACCATAATGTTGAAAATTGATTTTAATATGCTGAAAAAATAATGGTTAGTGTCAGTATCAATATCTGAACTGTTTTTTGGAATATTGGCAGCATTTAAATAGATAGCTCCTGTGATTGGGCGATATGTTTCTTGGCCGTCAACATCATAATAATTTACTGCCGAAATTAATGAGCTAAGATTGAACGGACGTAAAAATACTATTAAATATAGGTCATAATTCGTAATAGTAGGTCCATTTTGAATTACTTTGCAATCATCATTTTTAGGAAATGTAATGTGTTTTTGATATGGGTTAACTTTAACTAGATCTGTAATATAGTTGATGGCATTTTGAAAGGTAGTTTGATATGCTTGAATTTGCTCATTTGTAATTAAATCATCTTCCTGACATGTATAAACAGTATCATTCCAGTGAATGTTTTGACCTACAGTGGTGCATCTTTGAGGATCATCAGTCGTTTTATTAAAATATTGAAAATCATAAAAAATTCTTATTGGCTTAAATTGAGTATCTTCATAAGTGTATCTTTGGTACGTGTTTGAGTTCCGATTTGACTTTTCGGCTCCCCAGTTGAATAACCCTTTTCCAAAGGAGATAAAAAGCAAAATCATTATGTGACAGTCAAAATTGAATTAAAATGAAATAATCAGTGTACATAATGATTAATACATAAAGGTTGATATGTTTTATGAAATATATTTTTTGAGGTATCTAACTGAAAATTGCATTGAATTTAATTTGACAAATTTCAATCGTACATCAAAAAATTGTTTGGCCTAAACTCAAGTAATAAGTTTATCATTATTTTACTTTTATTTTCAATAAGTTGTCACAAATTTTGATAAGTTGTTATAACCTTATATTATCCAAGTAAAAAAATCAACAGATATTATAATTGTGGATGTTTCCAACTGGAAATCTTTATGATTTAAAATGTTGAAATATAAAAAAATGCTAAATTCTGTTATAAATTTTGATTAGTAATAATAGCAAATTGATTTAATCAATTTTTGTAACCGTCATGTCAAATAAGGTTAGAATAAATCATGACATTAATATATTAACAAATGTCAACATTATTATAGTAAAAAATAAGAGTGAAAGATAAATAAAAGTGTTACTCTCAAATCAATATTTTCACACACCGTCCAAAAATGTTTTTGATTGTATATATATTTAGGATATCATAAGTTATTTATAAAATTTAATTATTTGAATATATAACGATTATTGAAATCGGGATAGAATATTCGTTAATCTGATGGCATCAATTGTACGAAATCAGAATTCAGATTGAAGATTTTGAATAGAACATTGTAATAAACAGAAATTCATCAAAAGTGACAGCTCTCAATTTTATGACATTTGTAAATTCTAAATTGAATGAGAAAAATGAAATAATACTAAGCATAATACAATATTCTAGATTTAATTATAATTAGGAAAAAGTTAGTTTTGAGAGTACTTTTCATAGGCATATAGAATGAAATCTTCTGAAAAATAATATCACATAAACTCATATTATTTTCTAATATATAACTATTTTCTATAAAAATCAAATTCAATGATCTTAAAAGCGAAGGATAAACCTCAAAATTTACGAATATAATGAGTTGGAATATAATGCTTATCTATCATAAAACCATATGAAATATCAATTTTTGCTTTACGCCTAATTTTTGACGACAATTAGCAAAAAATGTTAAATGTTAACACTCAGTCCATTTGAATATGAAAAATAAAATTGACTTTGATTAAATGTTTTTATTTATCATGCAATTCTTCTTGCGACCAAAGATTTGAATAAAAGTTCAAAAAATAAGATAGCTTAAAAAAATAATATACGGTAGTGTTTACTAATAGATGAATAGTATATAAAATTCTATTAAAATGGATTTGATCCAAAAAAATATATAAAATTTGATCATAAATAAAATCGTTTTAAATTACTTCTTCATTTAAATTATAACAATTATTTTTGGTTTTATATTTTTTGGATCAAATCCATTTTAATAGAATTTATATACTATTCATCTATTAGTAAACACTACCGTATATTATTTTTAAGCTATCTTATTTTTTGAACTTTTATTCAAATCTTTGGTCGCAAGAAGAATTGCATGATAAATAAAAACATTTAATCAAAGTCAATTTTATTTTTCATATTCAAATGGACTGAGTGTTAACATTTAACATTTTTTGCTAATTGTCGTCAAAAATTAGGCGTAAAGCAAAAATTGATATTTCATATGGTTTTATGATAGATAAACATTATATTCCCACTCATTATATTCGTAAATTTTGAGGTTTATCCTTCGCTTTTAAGATCATTGAATTTGATTTTTATAGAAAATAGTTATATATTAGAAAATAATATGAGTTTATGTGATATTATTTTTCAGAAGATTTTGTGTTCTTCTTCAAAATTTTATTTTTTTTATTAAAAAGAATCTTTACAAAATATACATTTACTTTAATTAATATTTAAAAACGTGCTCTATCAAAAGTTCCAAAAATTCAATATTTTAGCTTTTCTGAGGTGTCACTTTTGATAAATTTCTGTTTACAACACATTAAGGTTTTTTTCGCTAATGAAAGGAGTAGGTGCCAAAAGTGCTTACTCTTAAACAACCGTCGGATTTCCGGGTGAAATCGTGACACACTTTCGTCTTTCGTAGGCAGTGGTGGTTGTTACAAAAGGTAACTTCGAATGTAGCGTGAAATCTGCAAAAAAAATTCTGAAATTTGAATGGAGAACACAAAAATTGAATAGTTTACGTCAATAAAAAAGAGAAAAATGAAGCCAATGTGTCTCGAACCTAAGACTTAGAGCAGCAATCCCACTGTTTATCAAATTACACTACATGCATCTCTCACCTCAGTGAATGAGATCAACTATATGATAACTTTTTCCCCATTATATTCTTGTGGAAAAGTGACAAATAGCAACTTTGACCCTCTCTCCTAATGAAAGCGATTTACCCAGATTTGCCTTACTTTTACCATCTCTCTAAAGCTGGGGACACCGCCTATCGTTGGGAGTAGCTATTAAATAGAACCACCAAGGGTATTTTTCGAACTGCCGGTGTAATGTACTGGAAACATCCGACATAATGATTCATTATGCCAAGGTTTGATTCCCATTTATCCAATTTTTTTCTTTTTTGGATCATGAATTTTTTTTTGGGTCACTATAAGATTTGTTTCATGTTCTAAATCTGCTGCATATGTAATCTATTTTTATTTACCTATTTTTTAAAAATCGATTGGATTGCCAAATTTGAATATATTTAAAATCATAAAACTCCAAAAAAACTATAAATATATGTTTTATGCATAGTGCCGATACTCAAATATCAGATTACTTAGATCCATGAATAATATCCGAATTTTTTTTCTTAAAATTAAACTTCAAAACTTCTTGCAATCTTATTCTTCATCTATTGTAAATTTTTAAAACCATTTTTTAAAATAATTTTGGGTAAATTTTATTCTCATGTTGTTTTAATCGAAAATTGATACATTTTCAAAAAAATAATATTGACTTATGAAATTCATTTTTAAGGTGAAATAGTATTGTTTTTATTAAAGTATATGAATAATATATAAAAAATTAATGAATAATATAAGCAGATTTTTAGTTTACAAAACAAATATGAGCAATGCAATTTCAAACTTTTGCTGGCAATTTCGATATTGCTCAAGTTTGTAGTATTTGTGATACCTATAACATCGGCTTAATCAAAATTCGATTTTTCTTATGAGTTATTGAGAAAATTTGATTGCAATGAGAAGGATTTCGACGTTTTTGATAAACTAAGAGCTGAGCTTTAGGGGTTCAGTTCATTTATGGCTGTAGTTTGATGCGTAGATCTCTTTTTTATTGTAAATTCTTTCAGCATGGAGATCGAGAATGAATCTTTTGAGAACTTTATGAGTTTTTACACCCGTAAAGAGGTCCTTCGAGGAAAGATAGTCCAGATTACATGAAGATGTGGGTTAACCAAAAAAATCCGATGGTTTCCCCATATTCATGTAGATCTTCGAAAAAATGAGCACCAAAAAAGCCAAAAAATAGGCTTTTTATTGGATTTGTACACTAGATCAATAACCTATTTAGGATCTGACACTCTTTTTAGCCAGAGAGATGAGGTCCTTTCTAGGAAAACGATCTATTCATCCATAAAAAAAATGAATTATCGTTTTCCCCAGAAATTACATGGGGAGTGGTAAAAGTAAGGAAAATCTGGGTAATAAAATAATTTGAAAAAGTTTCTTATTTTAAATATAAAACTTTCTTTTTAAGATATAACATTTTATATAAACTATTTTTGAGATTGAATTTGAGAATACTCTAAGCATAATGGGCAAATTGAATCTCTTCCAAAGCATTTAGAGCATAATGCTCTCATGCATGATGGGCAAATCTCTGACGAATGCTTATGGCAGATGTAGCATTTGTCAACAGATTTGGAAATTAAATCTGAATTTCCTCCCAAACACTGAGAGGAAATAACCACTGATTTGGAATCCTTCAGCTGGCAGATTGCTATTGATCCTGCTTCATCGCAATCCAAAGCTACTATCTCTTTGTCATTCGAAAGTTTCGATTGATGAAATTCGTTTTCAAAACCAAAAGAAAATTCGCGAGTTTTGTGTCCTATTATTAACCCGCCTGATTTCGGATCTCCGCACAAACTAGAGCAAGTAATTTCATTAGGAAAACTTATTTGGTACAAAGTGCTTCCTTCATAATCAATAACTTCTATTGAATGTTTGTAAACAACATAAAGATTTGACCTCAAAAAGTGGAGAGAAATAATTTTTTCTTCAACTTTTTTCTTAAAAATTGTTTCACATAGAGGGAAGAAAATCAATGAAATTGATATTTCGTTTGCTAATGCAATTATCAGGTTATCTTTATCATAACATAGTAAATCTGCATTTTCTGTTTGTATCTGGCAAATTCTGACAATCATCGGTTTTTGATGTTTTGAAACTGCTCTGAAAACTAAAATTTCATCGAAAGAGAAAGTAACAAAACAAAAGTCATCATCGATAAAGATGTTCGTCCAGTGTTTTAGAATGGAATCATGCCATCTCACAACTTCTTTTGTTTCACAAAATTCGATAACTAAAGAATCATCTTTTATTTTTGCAGAAAATTTATCTTTTTTGAAGAAATTTCGGATTTCCTCAAAAGAAAAGTTTTCCTTTGTCACTTGGTAAACATAAGGTAGAGAAGTTGTGGAAAGATTTCTCTTTTCTTCACTGAATTTAGTAATTTTAGGGACATTTTCTGGTAATTTTTCAACAATTTCGTATTTGTAATCCAAATTTTGAGATTTTTTGGCATCAAAATCAATTTTTGAATTGGAATATGATTTTTCATTCAGTAGATTATAAAAAGATATAAATTCTTCTGTATCGATCTTTCCGTTCTTGAAATCATTCGTAATCCTATCGATATCAAAAATTTCTGAAGTTGTAAACTGACTTAAATCATCGATGTATTTCAAAGATCTTTGGAAATCATCTTCTGAGTGGCATTTAATAGTGAAATGTCCAGAAGACAAACTCCAAAATGAGAAAGATTTCGAGTTCTCGAATTTTATCAAAGACAGAATTTGTCTTTGTTCAATCATCAACAAAACAGAAGAGAAAAATCTTGCAGTGATTCCTAAAGTGTGGTTAAAAACTTCTTCCATAACAAAAGAAAAATCATAGTCATTAAACACTAAACGGTCATCAACCAAAGTAGAGCCAATAAGTAAAATGACAGCGTTGTGGAAAAAGAAGATTACGGAATCAGTTTCTTTCGAATTTCTCTGGAAAGAAACGTTGAAATAAACAGAAGATTTGGAAAATTCATTGAAAAATCTTTCCAGACAATTGCAGAATTTGTCTGGTTTAGTGATTTTTCGCTTGAAAAACTCTAATATATCTGAATCACTTTCAAAGTGGTTTTTCAGATAAAATTTTGGTTGTTTCTTGTAAATGGAAAACTGTGACAAAAATCTTTTTTCAGAGATAATTGATTTGGATTTGATTTCTTCTGTCCAGTATTCGATGTTGTCTGGTTTTGTCGTAGATAGAAATGACAACAAAATCTCTGATAATATCTTCGATTTCGTAAGAGAAATCGAATTCGATGACAAAATGATTTTCATTTTTTCTGTTATAAAATTAACAAAGTTTTCAATCAAAGAATTACGAGAATTTTCGTAAATTTCGTAACCATTTAGTATTTCTTTGTTCTTGTCTTTCAATCTGAAATTCTTGACAAATGAAATCAAAATGTTTGATTTTTGGTTATCAAATTTTGACAAAATTTCCAACCATTTTGATTTTATTGTCGAGAATTCGATAATTTTCTTTAATGTTTCTTCCTTCGTAAACAAGACGGATAAGAGCAAATCTATTGATTTTGCTTCACTCTGTGAAATGAAAGAAAGCAGAGTTTGAGAGAACTGATTTGCCAAAGAAGTCTTGATCTTCATTTTTTCGGCCAATTCGATGATTTCTTTCAATATTTGGTATGGATTTATCGAGTAGTCGGATTTGTGTAAAATATAATCATAAAACATTAGGATTTGCTTCACAAACACTTTTCCGGCTTTCTCTGCATTTGTAAATAGTGATTTGTCCAGTATCAAATTGATGGAATTTCCAATTTCGCTGTCATAAAAAAGTGGATTATATAAAAGTGACAAAATCACTTCACATGATGGTAATTTTGCGTTGAAAGCAAAAGAAGAGAGAAATGTAATCAAAGGATGGTCAGAAACATAAGAAATTGCATTTATAGCGTTGAAATTTTGGAAATTTACTTCCAAATTCGAATCAAGAATCAAATTTGAAACAATTTCGCTGAGAAACTCGAAAACATCTTTTGTTTCCTCTGTTTTATCCTCATTATAATAAAATATTTCATTATTTTCCTGTGTGGTTTCGTTGTTCATTAAATCAAAATTAGAACTGTTTTGGATGTCGTTTTGCAGACCATCCAAATTTATCAAAGAATCATTTGTAGTGTTTTCTTTCTCTTCAGCTTTCTTCTTTTCTTCGGTGAAAGATTCATTGTTTTCTTCATTTTCTTCAATGAAAATTCTATGTTTTTCTTCATCTTTTTGATGGAATTCTTCCTTGTTTGTTTTTTGATCATTGTTTCTAACTGTTTTTATGAATGGTTGCCAGAATTCATCTCTTAACTCAGGAAAGTTTTCGAAATTGTTTCTTTCTACTGTTACTTTTTCGTCAATTGTTTTGTTTCCAAACAAAGATTTCGAATGGAAAATTAAAGGGAAACAATTAACAATAAAAGAATAGCAATCATTTGATTCTGCAATATGAGAAATATTCTTCAGCATTAAACTTAAAACAATTCTTGCATTTTCTTCGCAGATATTTTCTTTTCCTCCTAAAAATGAAATTGAATAGAAAGACGATAGAAAAACCGCCCAAATCATATGTAACAAAGCAATTTGAGGAATGAGTTTTTTGTTTTGTAAGTCAATGAGAACAGTCCAAACTTCCGGAATGTCTTTTAATTTTGTCAAAGAAAAACAAAATTGCAGAGAAAACTTGCAAAAATTCTTCAAAATTAAGTGGATTTTCATGATCAAAACAAAAATCTCAAAACACTTCTGTTTTGATTCGGTTTCAATAAACAAATTCTGTAGATGCTCGAACTGCAAGTATTTCGTGATTACATGACAATAATTTTCATTTTCTGACACCAAAACTGTCAAATTTTTCAAAATTGACATTTGAATTTTTTCCAAATTTATTTGGTGACCGCTTCTCAAGACGCAAATAACAAATTTCGGAATTCTCGAGAAATAAAATATTCTCTTAAGAACCGGATAAACGATTTCTTCTGTTTCTAATATCATCTGACAAAGAAAGTCTTCAAACAATTTTGTGAAATCTTCTTTTCTTATTTTGTTTAAAATGGAAATCACGATTTCTTTCGTCAGCAAACTTTCTCTCAATAAATTCTCCAACAAAACTTTTCCTTTGAATACTTTCGAAAGAGAATCAATTAAATAATCAGATAATTGTGGATTTGTAAAAAGATCTTTGAATTTTGACAAGTAAAAAATGAATTGTTTCTGCTTCGAATCATTGATTTTGAAAATTAATATCAATTTTGTCAAAATTTTTGTTTTCTGAGTGTTTGTAAAGTTCTCAATTTTGTCAAACACGAATTTAAACTTTTCGAAATCCAAAAAATGGGAACATAATGAATAATAAGGAATAATAAACGAATTTTGATGAAAAGTAACGAAATAGTTTTGTGTTACAAAATTTTTTGCTTTGTAACTATCATTGAAAACGAATTTGTGGTCGAAATAATTCCAAGAATTCAGATGAACAAAATCTTTTGATTGATTCTTGTGGAATGGACCATTAGATATCAGTGTTTTGACATCATTGATGTTGTGATTTGATAATTTGATTATTGGAGAAATGTAAACTTTTGAATTTTCTGTTAAAAAGTGACAGAAAGCGAAATTTGTATCCATTTTGAGTAAACTGAAAACTGTTGAAATTCTGTTGATATTTATTTTGAGTGCGTAAAGCTCTATCTGGATACAAACGAAATTCCATTTTTCTGGCAATATTTTGTAAGTCATTTTTTGATCATTTGCCCCACAAATCAAATTATCATTTTCGAAAGAAAGTTTCACATTCTTTGCTTCGAAAAATGGCCCGTTTGATATCAAAACTTTCTTGAACCAAAACGAAATCAATGAAAAAGTCCCAGTGACAGAAATTTTCGAATTAAAGTCCAAATAAATCAAAGGAGAATTATCGAAATTTTCATTGATTTGCAAGTCATTTTCTATTTGATCAAAATTATCCAATATTTTGTTAAATTTTTCGTTTGATACAAATTGGTTATAAATATCATGTCTCTTGATTAGTTTCTCTGTGTCTAAATATTGTCCGAAAACAGCTTTCGAATACGGATGCAAATTAATTGGAATTTCCTTCAGAAACCTGCAAAGAGGATGAATCATCACTAAGTTTCTTTCTAAATCTCTCCCGAAAACAGCATTTTTCAGTACATTTGCGTCATTTAACTTCAGTTTGTCTTCTTCTAAAAGTTTCTCAATCATTTTGTCAACTTTGACATAATGAACTTTACTTGTCAAAAACGATAAAGTTGTCAGAAATTCATTTTCTGTTATTTTCTGATTTAAAAACATTTGGCAGAGCCAATTCAATGAAAAATGGCAGAATCTGTCACAAATTTTTGTATTTTTCAAAAAGGAATTGTCAAAAATAAATAAAAGTGACGGAATTTTGTCGACCAAATCCATGATAATCTGCAAACTCTCTGAATCAGGAGAAACTGATATAAAAGATGATAAACAATGGACGATAACTGTCAGATTTCTGTCAATTTCCAAAATTTCGCAGAAAACTTTCAAAATTTGCTTTCTAAAACTCAGACTCTCCTCTGACTTGAAAAACGAAATCAAAATGTCACTCAAATTGTCGCTGTTTGACAATAATTTGACAAGCTTTTCTTTTTCGAGAGAGAAAATGAAAATTTGTAAAAAGCCAATGTCCAAAAGTGAACTGATATCTAAATAACCGTTTTTGATTTGTTCAGAAAATATTTTCAGTACTTTGTCAAATTTTGTAACATCTTTTTCTTCACCAATCAATTTTCTGAACAAATATGGCAAAATATTTTTGACAAACAAAGGTGAACTGACAGAAATTTTCTCAATCAGTTCTATTGCCAAGTTCAAATCGAAGAATGACATCCAACTTGTGAGTTTTGTCTTTTTATCGATTTCCTCGGCAGAATTCGGGAACTTGTCAATTGTCTGGATGAGCAATTTGAAGAAATTTCTTTGGTTTTCAGGCTGGTTGTCGAACAACAATTTGATGTGGAAAATTGTGTCTAAATTTGGAGGTTTTGAAGCGTCGGAGTTGTCTATTTCGAGAAGTTCTGTGAAGATATCGATCTTGTCTTCGATTTTTGAGTTGGCCAACATTAAATCAAAAGTGACAAAACCGTCGTGAGTTACGAAAAACTTGATACAGTCGTGGTTCTTCATTGAAATGTATTTTATCACTCTCGCAACAAAGAGACAGCTATCTTTGATGTACTTTTCCTGTATAATGTGGGAACAAGCAATGTCTGTGACTTTTGTGATAAAATATTCGTAATTAATGTAATGTGAGAGGTTTTGGTTGATCATTTGAGGTATGTTGTTGGCAGAAAATGTTGAAATAAGGTCTTTGTTCTCATTTCCAACAAAAGAATTGTAAAATAAAATGTCAATTCCGTTGTAAACACAAAATGGATTAAAAAGTACTTCTGTGTTGAAAATGGTATGAAGTAAATCACTAATGGTTTTAGTTGATATTTGAAATTTGTCGACGAAATGAAACGAAGTGACTGAATACGAAATATAAAGTTGGATAAATTCATCCATTGGACATACTTCTGCAATGACTTCTAATATATGCATCGTTTGAATGAATATTGGTAATTCTTCTCTGATTGAAGTTGAATAATCTGCTATTGAGTTGCAATATTTTTGAATATACTGTATTAGAGTTTCGTGATCAGTTTCGTTGGCGAGAAATTCGTTGAATGAAGAAAGAAATAGGCTGAAATTTTGAGATTTTTTGATCGGATCAGTTTCGGAACGAAATAATTTGAAATCTGTTTTAACTTGCTGCAATATTTGGTCATTGTGAACAATTATTTCGTCTTGCTTTTCATGTTCATTCATATGATCTTTATGGTCTGGATCAAATTTGAGGCGGAGGTTTTTGTGATATGGAAAAATGTTCGTTGCTCAATTATCTCACTATTGGATGGACTTTTATCGAGCGAAATTTTGGCTGTAAAGACAATTCTGATATTGGTAAAAAAAAAAAAAAAAAAAAAAGGGATGGGGCTTCCAGGCACTTCGTGCCTTCTAGCCCTGAGGATGAATGAGTATAATGAAGTTTTTTTTTCTTGGGGGATGGCTTCCAGGCACTTCGTGCCTTCTAGCCCCCGAAGATGTTTAGTATAAATGAAGTCTCAACAAAGTCTTTACGAAGAAGTCTCAACAAAGTCTTTACGAAGAAGTCTTGACAAAACATTTACAAAGAAGTCTTTACAAAGTCTTTACAAAGTCTTTACGAAGAAGTCTTTACAAAACATAGACAAGAAAGTCTTTACAAAGTCTTTACGATGAAGAACTTTACAAAGTCTTTACAAAACATAGACAAGAAAGTTCATGAGAAATTAGATGAAGAAGTTCAACAAAACATAGACAATGAGTGTAAATCAGACAAAATAATGTTTAGGGTAGAAGGTTAGATATAACCTCTTTTCTAACCTCTTTTCTACCCTCTTGAATTTTCATGATTTCTTCGTCATAGGCACGGAGATAGGACGGTCATTTTACAAAACTGACAACACTTTGACCGAGTAGTTTTTTGTGCTGAACAAAAAGTGTCATATAAACATCTGTCAAAAACCGCTTTTTAACTTCACTTAAAATGCCACGTAAGCTACGTAAGAATATACGTAAGAGGAAGAGAGCATTGAAACATCCAATAGTAAGACTAACACCACAACAACAGTTGCAACAACAAATGCTGAATGACCCCACTATGTTGCAACAAATGTCAAGCAATCCTATGCTTTTAAACCGAGTTGTTGGTGCACAGAGTGGAGGTTTAAGAGCGGCACTTTTAGCGAAAATGGCAGGCTATGGTGGAGCTGCAGACGGAACAGCATATAACCCTCAAAGTCAAATGAATTTGAGTTCACTCAAAAATCAAATAACAGATGTCAAAAAGTCAAACATAGACATACAGAAGCAAATAAGTGAAAACGAAAAGAAACTAGAATATGACAGACACACAAAGAAACTCAATGAGTTAAACGTAGAGAAAAAGAAGAAAGAAGAACAACTGAAAGAACTAAGTACAGAGGAATATGCGAAAAAAGTGTCAGAAAAAGCAACAGAAGTAGCAAAAATGGAACAAGATGTCATAAATTTGAAAAACCATACTACTCAATATAAAATACTGAAAGATGAAGAGATAAAACAAAAAGCCCTGAAGACATATATGGATAGCGATGAGTATAAAAAGGAAGTTGAAGCAAATGTAAAGGCAGAAAAACTTTTACAGTTGCAAAACCAAACCGTACAGTATGAAAACTTAGCACAAGAAAGTAAAAATAACGACGCGGCTATGCAAAAGGCAATGAAAAGCGCAGAGTATATAAAAGCTAACAATGACTGGTTAGATGCCCAAGCCAACGCTAAAGCAGCCCAACTCATAGGGTCAATAAGGACAAAAATACAAGCGGATGAAGACAGTTCAAATGAAGCTTTAACAAATGCTGACTTTAAGAACGCCTTCGAAGCTCTTCATAGTAAGGTGAAACAAGTGAACGATTTCTCATCTGGAAAGAAACTGAAGTCTGAAGGTTTCGACAAAGAGTTAAAAGAAGTAGCACAAAATATGACGAAAATAACAGACGCAGCAACGAGACAGGCAGTTCAAAGTGCCTATGACGCCGTTAGAGCAACTGTTGTGAAAAGTCAAGAAAAAGAGTTACAACAGACCAAAACAGACCTAGTAAATGCTTTCTTAAGAACGAAAAGTCAGGTAGGACATTACGCTGCAGATGGAACATATGTGCCAGCTGGTGGAACTTATATACCACCAAACCCTCCAAGAGAAGCACCTGCACCAGGACTACCTAAAACATTTACATCGTCACATGGACACAGACACAGGCATGCACAAAACCAACACAACAACCAACACAACAACCAACACAACAACCAGCACAACAACCACCTCCACAACCAGCACAACAACCAACACAACAACCAGCACAGCAACCAACAGTTCAAAACCCTGCACAACAACAACCACAAACAGAGCAAGGACATAAAAGAAGTAGAGAACAAGGAAACCAAGAATTCTTAAAAATGCTTAAAGAAGAGTGTGGTTTCCCAGATAGTATTGACTTTAGTGACAGATATAAAGAAGCTATTGGAAAGTTCAAGGATGGAAATACTGACCCGAACCTATTTAGCTTTATGGCTCAGCACCAAAACGGATATAATCTCAAACCTGGAAAATACAAGCTCGCTAAGGGATATGATTTAATAGCATATCATCCAAATGACATGGATGAATTTACTCCGAGATATTTGATGTCAGAGCTAAATGACAATTCAACTTTCGTCATGAAACGCGTAAAAAATAGAGACGGAACGAAAGAACAAAAGCTTATGAATGCGGATGACGTAGATAGGGAAATTGTTGAAAAACGGTCTCGGAATATATGAAATGCCAGCAGATGAGGTACAAGAAACTCCACAGGAAGAAGTTCAGATACAACCAGAATGGAAGAAATAGTTCAGCAACAACAGCTAGAAGAGCCTGAAGGAAACGAACAAGTCCTTCCTTTGGAAACTAACTTCACAGAACTAGATGAAGATTTGGAACAGCCGAAAAATCTTGACCCTCAACAAGAGTATGCGGAGAATATGGAATATTCCAAGAGTCTAAAAAAAATTCGGCTGACATAGTAGAAGAATATCGAAAAATGTTTGCCGACATACAAAAGACTCCAACACCAGATGAAAATATTCAGCATAGAATGGAAGTACTGAAAGAAAATGTACACAAATACAACAACCCTTTTTACTTACGAGCATTTAACGTTCAATCTTTGGATGAACTCGGTGAAAATAAAAGGTTAAATTTCAAGAAAACATATAGAAATGAAACATTGTTTAAAGTTCATTCAGAACCTAACCAAGATGGAAACAAACCTACTTTTGTTTCTGCAGACGATGGAACTACAATGAGATGGGGTCATAAAGCTAATCCAGATAGGTGGTTCATAAACTTACAACCACAATTCCAAGAAGTTGTAGACGCAATGGAAGTCAATGGTGAACGAGATATAGCTGGTATTTTAAGCGCGGCTTTAATGCATTGAAAGATATGAACATGCAGATATTTTGGACCAGTATGAAATGAACATGGCTGATGGAAATATAACACCTGACGTTCTAGAACATTTATCTCAAAGAACTACACAGAACCATAGAGATGGTATATTTGGTGAAGAGTTTAGAAAGAAAGTTAGGGAGAGCGAAGGAAGAGAACCTATTGTACATGACCTTGCAAATGAAAGTTTACAAAATGTCATAAAAACTTACTTTGCAGACAATGAACTGAGAAGGGATGAATATTTAAGAAAACAAATGGACAGTACCAAATATGTAAAAAACATGTTCCTTGACAAAATAAAACCAACTACAGAAATAAACGACGCAAGACTGAAAGATTGGGTAAAAGCTTTCCCATTCACAAAAGATATAGTTGGTAACATGGAAAGAAAACCAGAATGGCTACAAAAACATATATTTGGAAACGAGCATATTCCATATGGACAGGCACTGTTTGAAGAGCTTGAACCGGAAACTCAGGAAAGAGTCATGCAAACAATACGCGAAGACTCAAATACAGACTATGACAAACTCTTTCTAGGATATAGGTTACCTGAGATGGGCGACCAGAGCCAAAAGGCAAAAAGGACATGGGAAATTTGCAACATACTAGATGAACATAATGCAAAGATGCAACAACTTCAAGCAGAGGGCAATGAAGGAAAAAGAAGAGTTAAAAACTCAGTCAGGAAGAAAGTAAAGCTTGGTCCACGTGGGTTCTATTATGACATATAAATCCAACTATTCTATATTTTTACTCATATGAAATGTACGCCGCTCAGAATATAACGCCAACAGTTTTGGATGCTATGAATGGAAATGTTTCCGAATGGTATAACGAATGCGACAATGCCATTAGAAGGTCAGAAATAGTTCCTGGAACTTACGAATATACAACTGCTGTTTCTTATGGAAACGTAGGTGAGTTTGGAGAAGGTTCTTCAACAACAGTAGATATTGCTTGCGACAGGTTTCATATAATTTCTATTGACAACTCTTTCTTATACGTGGAACAAGACATTGAAATAAAACCTTCTGCCAAGTTGTCTGACAAGAAAGGTTGCAATGGAATTTTCTATGTCGGATACCAATATGCTCCAGAAGTTTTCATGGGATATAAGATATATTCTAACTCTGACTTAGTTCAAACAGTAACATGGGCAAACTATGAATGGTTCGCTTTGAGAAACTCAGTACAACCACAAGCTAGAGAACAAACAGACCAGTATGCCACCATTGAGAAAATAAGAAGACTTGACCCTAACGTTCCAGGAGTTTATGTTAACCTTTCTGGACAAACTGCAGCAGCAGTAACCAAAGTAAAACTGAAACTTAGAGTTCCTTTGTCATCTTTCCTCATCTTCAGGTTTTTAAGATACTTGCCAAACTGGGCAGGAAAAATTTCTATCGAACTTACTCCAAGCAAAAATAACTTAGTCATTGCACCAACGCAAGACCCATTCACTCTTACAGACGTAGTGGGAACAAATAAAACGTCATTCGCCGACTTTTGCAAAAACAAAGTTGACTTAGACTTTGGTTTCTCAAACCTCAACACTGAAGTAAACTATTATTTCAATGCTGCTGGAGATGCTTGGGACCCAGTTAAGTTCACATGCGAAAAATTTGAATGCAAGAGAATAGAAAGCAGACTTGCAGTCTATATGTTGGACCCAGATATTTCAAATGCTTTAGCTGCCAAATATATTGCAGTTCCACTTATGTTCCCTATACACCAAATATCTGTCAAAGACTTTGCAGGTGAAGTTGGAAACCAAAGTGCTGACCCAGGTGCAAGAACAGATATTGCTTTAACAACTGCAATGAAACATGCAGATACTATGTTTGTACTGTTCAGACGAACTATAAGATACTTTCTTGCTTCTACAACCCTGGTATTAATACATATAAACATAGATGGCAAATACTATCCAAGAGAAGAATATTCTACAGTTGAGGATATGAGGTCATACAACTTGACATTAGATGCTATGAACTTTAACAAAACTTCACAACAACCATAAAACCCTGAAATGCAAAGTTCTATTATGCCATATGTGAAAGTATGGACTCATACAGGAGGTCAAAAACTCAATATACAAATGGAGACCGTTCAAACTTTTGGCTTGGCATTCCATTTGCTGACTCAGAAGACTTTATGGGTGGTATTTCAAACTGTTGTACAGTTCAATACAATATACTGGTGACAGAGACGGTCCAGATGAACTGAGAGCAAAGAAGTTTACAAAACCAATAGCACTTTTCACGGAAGATGCTCTTTTGAAGATTCGTTCGATGAAACCTGCTGGGGCTCCTCAGATTGGCATAACGACAGCTTCCATCGAGCAGATTTTGGCAGCAGGTCAGTAAGTTGTTCTTGAACTGACTTCTCTCCGTCAAATATTGACAGTACGCCAGTTTTGATATAATATTGTATTATAAACTTTCCTTTAGAAATATCGGTCAGTTTTGTTGTTATATTTTTGTCAACGTCAAGAACTTTCACCATTTCAGTTATACCAACTTTCTTTGCTTTATGAAAATATTTTGGTTCAGCAAATATTGCTATTCTATAACATTTTCCATTGTTTGTGTAAAGAACTATTCTGTCAATGAACTTGTACTGTTTGTGTGTGTAAACTTTGTTTTGCTTCAATTCAAAGAGATACTCAAATACGTCCATCTTTTTATTCTTAGTAAAATGTCATTTCCGAAAAATAGAAGCGTAAGTGTTTCAAAAGGTTTAATGGCGGTGGCAGATGTGAAGTTAAATTCACCAACTCAAACAAACAGTCAAAGTGTTGTTGTCAATGTCAAAGAAAGAGATGTTGAAGTGGGGAAACCATACGAAGACGAAGATGGTATAACAATAGTTCCTGTAAAAGAACAACCAACATATCCTGAAGTTAGCAGAGACTTAAGTTCTGTTGCAGATATTCGAAATGACTACCAACAACTTAAAGACAAACTTAAAACTCAGGAGAAGATTTGTCAGGCTTTGGGTATAATGTTAAACTTGGTTGAGCACAACCCTGTAAAAGTGAACTCATATGTCATCGCACCTCATGAAATTTTGAAAGAACTATTGAAACTTTTGACAGAGGCAGACGATATAAACATCAAAGAAATAGAACCCGACATTGCTTGCTGTGGTGTTTCATACAATGTCATTGACAAGATATACGTTATGAAAGGAGGTGAAACGTTGAACTTAAAATTAGTTTCCCAGACGTCATAAAAATATTTGACGACCACAACATTTCATTAAAGTTTGTTTGCTAAGTAAAAATGTCAAAACTTCTTGAAAGATGTTTGAAGAAAAACAATATAGACTTTATTTCATTTAAAGGACTTTACACGCTTTTGAACGATATGAAAGACCCTGTTTTGTTTGTTCGTGTAGACAAAGGAAAGTTCTATGTCTTTACAAAATATTTGAACTTCTTAGACAGAGAACTTCAAGAAACGCCATGTGAAAGTTTAGATGAAGTTCTTCTCCACTTTCAGAAAACTTTTAAATATATGTAAATGGCAGAAGACATAGTGGTTTATACTATTACGACTAAAAACCCTGAGTCATATAATTCTATAACAACAAACTTACAAAGTCCTCAAGGACGATATTGTAAACTGACCTTAAACACGATGACGACTAAAGCCTGTTTTGCTCTTTTGACACCAGAAGACTTTGTTGTTGTGAATGGTAAAAAATACTTCTTTGAAGATACTTACTCAGATATACCACCAACAGGTTTTGTTGACTTATTTAATACTTTAAGGACGGATGTAACATGTGCTGCTGCAACTAGAGCAGGTTTCATTATGTTTGGATGTCCGACTGAGTTTAGTATAAACGATATGAGCTATAATACAAAACTTATATCTGGTTTTTACTACCAACAGTTTCCTATAACAGGAAAAGGTGTCATACAAGGAATGTCTGTTCCATTGACTTTAAGTACACCTATTTTATATATTGTTTCAAACTTAGGTTCAAAGTGCTATTCGAATGTCGACAGAAACTACTATGACCAAAAGATACTCATGCGTATAAACAACACTTTCTCTGCTGGTTTGCCTATTGTTCATTCGAATGCAGAGTTTTCAGCTTTAGTAAACTCAAACACTTTAGCAAACATAAACTTAACCTTAGTTGACGCAAACTTTGTTCCTGTTAAAACTTTTATGTCCTATGTATTTGTCAATGACGGCAGAAAGTTTCGAATTGGAAGATGCAACTGGTGAAAGTATTGTACTACAAGAACAACTTCAACAACAAATAGCTCAAGAACAACAAATGCAACAAATGGAACAAATGCAACAACAAAGTCAAGAATAAAAAAATATTTTTTTTATTTTTATAAAAATGTACAGAATAGACGTTTCAGATTTTTATGACTTCCAAGCGTTCAGAAAATATGTGTCCATTTAGAGACTATAACAAAGCAGTCGAGAATTTGAAACGTTTAGTCATTTATGTCGACTCTGCCCCAGAATGTTATGTCATGAAAGAATGGGATGTTGTCTTTAACAAACCAAGAGCAACCATAGTTTCAGAACAAGAATGTAGACAGAAACTTAAGAAAATAAAAGTCGTACAAGTTGGTATGAAGATGTTAGATGCTTGGGATATCTTATTGTCAAAGTTAGAAGATTTTTCAGTTCGTGGTATAAAGTTCTATACACCATCTCCAAACTTCTATTCTATCTTCACTGGATATAAATACGAACAAGTAGAATGGAAAGAAAATGTTATAGAAGCTTGGTTAGACCATGTCAAAGAAATTATATGCAATGGAAACGAAAGAGTCTATGAGTATATCTTATGTTGGTTTGCAAACATCTTACAACATCCAAGTGCTAAAAATGAAACTGCTCTCATTATAATTGGAAAACAAGGAACTGGTAAGAACACTTTCTTTACAGATATTTTGTGCAAACTGTTAGAGGGCTATTCGAACCCTAATATGACAAACTTAGAAAACATCTGCGGTAAATTTAACTCTTCAATAGAGAATATGAAACTTATAGTATGTAACGAACTTCAAAGTATAGATACAACAAAGGTTTTAAACTCAGATGCTTTGAAGAGTCTTATAACAGACAAAGTTGGAGTTGTTGAAAGAAAATATAAAGACCAAAGAGTTTGTGAAAATGTTGCAAATTTCATCATGGTTTCAAACAATGTTGTTCCGATGAAGTTAGAAAGTTCTGACAGAAGATATGTAGTTGTCAGAACGTCAGATTCTCATATGCAAGATACAGAATATTTTGACGACTTAGCAGAAACTTTGACACCTAACTTTTACAACCACTTGTTCTCATATTTCATGACATTAGATATTTCAAAGTTCAATCCAAGACAAATTCCACATACCGAAGAAAGACAAACGTTGTTAGAAGCAAACAAGAGTGTATATGAACTGTTTATAGATGAGACTAACTTTGAGTGTTTAGATGAAAGGTCATTGTACGACTCGTATAAACAATATTGTCAAGAGTATGGTTATATGGCAGCTTCTAAACGAACATTCTTGGCAAATGTCAAAAGTCTTTTAGACATACAGAACGGCGTATATACAAAGAAAAATTTTTCTGAGTAAATTTTAAAAAAAATCTTTTTTTATTTTATTTGAAATGTACGCTGAGTTTGTTGGAGAAGACCGTTGGGAAACTTGTTTGTTAGATGAGAAATATGAAATTCACTGTTGTGAGTCATTTGAAGTCAGAAACAAAAAGACAAAAAGAGTTTTAAGCGAATGGGAGCGAAATGACGGATATGCTGATATGAAGATGGGTGGAAAACACTATCTTAAACATGTTGTCATTGCAACTCATTTTATACTGAATCCTAACAATTTACCTTTTGTAGACCATATAAACCGTATAAGAAACGACAATAGACTTGAAAACTTACGTTGGGTCACTGGTTCTGAAAACAATAAGAAAAAGCAAATTTGGAGATATAGTATTCGAATTTGTCGACGAACTAGAAGATGAAGCAATTGAAATTACAGACTATGGCAAGCATACGTTTGAGTTTTACTACTACAGCGAAGAACAGGACTCTTTCTACTTTTATACCGGCGTAAACTATAGAAAATTACAAGTATGTTTTACTAAGGCAGACTATGCTTATGTATACGCTAGAGATACAGATGGAAAATACGTTAGACTATTTCTTAACAAATTCAAGAAGCTATATGGCATACCATTTTAAAACGTTTTTAAAAAAAAATATTTTTTTATCCGATAGAAAAGATGACGAAATATATTTCAGTCAACAAATATATGACAGAAGTCAAAGATAAGTTAGCTCCATTCGCTTATTTGAATGTTTACTTCTACCATTTTGAAAAGTCTACATTTGACAAAGTTTGGAACATCGAACCAGTTAAGTTTGCTATTGTGACTAAAAATGGTGCGAAATTTGAAGACTTAGACATTGACGGTATGTTGACAGTCAAAGAAAATTTTGACAGAAGGTTCTCAAACCTTAAAGAAGGCAAAGCATACAAACTTGTTATACCTTATGAACCAAAGAAGACAGACGACTATGAATATTATGAGTCTAAGATAGTTGAAGTTCAAGGTAAATTGGGTAAAAAGATTTTAGAGTCTAAGCCAGTGTTTGCTCCTAAAGAGGAAGAGAACATTGACATTGACCCAGAAATGTTCTAAAAATAAAATTTTATTTTTACATGTCAAATTTCTTTTTCTCTGGTTCAGGTTCTTTCTTCTCTTCTTCTACTTTCTTTTCTTTCTTCTCTCTCTTCTTCTTCTTCTCTGGTGGAGTTATGTCAAATTTCTCCGAACCATATTTCTGTAAAAGTTCTTTGTCCTTTAATAGCTCATCTATTCTGTTTCCTATTTCATCTTCAAGAACAGCGCATGTGTCTTCTTTGCATTCTAAGAACTTTTGTTGGACTTCATCTTTCCAATCGGCGTCATCTCTGTCAACAAGTCTGTCATTGACAAACTTAAAGACTTCTCTGCCTAATGTTTTATGGTTCTTGTCATATTCCCAGAAACAGAACTTTAGAACAAATTCCCTTTCTTGTTTACACTATGTAAGATTTTATGGTCGACAGATGTTTTGCTGTCAAAAGCTTGTCTCGAATATAGATAGCGAAATCGCTAGACATTTTCAAAAAGATAAAAATTTTAATTTTTCTAAAAATATGTTAGAAAAAAAGTTTTGCTGACATTGACAAGAAATTTGAGAATGTTTTAAATAAGAACAAGAGGAAGTTGGAAAATGCTCAGATAAAACCCATACATGACAAGTTCCTATTTGCTCAGAATGGTATAACAGGTCTAATTGCACCGCCTGGGTCGGGTAAGACTTTCACTTATCTTAAAATGGCTGCACAACAACAAGAACTAGATGAGAAGAACCCATTCTATGAGTTAGTTGTTATTTGTAGTACTTCTGGTCAATTTGACCAAACCGTCAATTCGTTCAAAGATATTATAAAAAAGTCTAAGTTAGTATGTATAAAAGACTCTGAGTTGTTGGATTGGATAAAGAAGTACCAAAGAAGAGTTTTGAAGTACAATGCTATAAATGAGTATGTCAATTCTAAGTTTAAAGACCCAAATGAGGAAATGCAGAGAATATTAGAGAAGAAACACTTCAGAAACAAACAGAAAGAGATAGAATACATTTCGAAGAAATTGCAATCTTACGATTGGAAGACTTACCCTCACAGATGTCTTCTTATCTTAGATGACTTTGCTTCTCATCCTTTGTTAAAGAACAGAGAACAAGACATGTGTCGAATTCTCAAGAAGCTCAGACACTTTAACATCTCAGTTGTCATTTGTGTACAGACAGCAAAGAGTTTAAGTAAGGATGTTAAAAGAATACTTACTGATATCATACTTTTCCCTGGATTGTCCGAAGACGATTTCATGGAACTTATGAAAGAGTCCATGGCAGGTAAGTTTGACAGACATGAACTCTGGGAGAAGTACAAAGTCATACAAGACCCTCATACTTCTTTCAGAATTCATATCTACGCGAACAAAGTTCAAATTGTAAAAAGTCAAGCTTGAAAAATAAATGTTTAGTCTTAGTAAGTCTGTTGTGGTGCTGGGGCTGTCGGTTCTTCTGGCTTTGGAATGGACTCGGTTGGTGGTACGTCGGACATTCGTTTGTGTCCTGTCGGATGGAAGAACTTTTTCTGTCGGAAGGAAGGACTCGGAATGTCGGAAGGAAGAACTTTTCCTGCCAGAAGGAAAAACTTTTCCTGTCGGAAGGAAAAACTTTTTCTGAAGTTCGACCAAAAAGTTCTCAATTTTCGAAAATTTGAATGGTTTACGGACGGACAACAGAAAAAATTTTGCCTGTCGGAAGGAAATTTTTTTCCAGTTGTCGGGAAATTTTTTTCCAGTTGGAAGGAAGGACTCGGAATGCCAGAAGGAAGGACTCGGAATGCCAGAAGGATTTGACAAGCCAATTTACCATCTAGAGCTACATGAGCCATCTTTGGTGTCAAGCTTGAAAAATAAATGGTTCATTTACTCTTCCTCTTTGAAGTTGTCAAAATACTCTGTTATCTTTTCTTTCAGTAGCGGCAAATCTTCTTTGAATGTAAGTATTGTACAACCTTTCATATCATAGTGTGTTTGAGGTAACGTATCTTGAACTATCTGTTTAACATCTTCATTCGGTGTCATTGAAATCGGTAAGTTTTCGCGATAGAACCAATTTCTGTCAGATTTGTAAATCTTAGCAAGGTCGTAAAAGCTTTTGTTGTTTCTTCTGACTAAATGCAACATAACCATATCTCTGTCTTCTTCATTTTCCATCTCTTCAGTGTAAATCATATACTTATAGTTCTTTTCCTTTCCTTTTGGTACCGAACGTGGTATTCTTTTCTGTATGTTTTTGTCTTTTGCTTCAATGACTTCATCTTTTGCTTGAAGTTTCTTTTCCATCTCTTCACGTTCTTGTCTATGAATTTCGTCAAGAAGTTTACAAACATACCATGAATAGCGAGCTGAAGCCCACATTGCAACAGCATTTACAAGAAGTCTATGTACATAATATCCTCTTAAATTTATTGGCAAATTTTTACGATTTTCATGTGTTTTATGCAAGGCCGAGAATTCTCGGTCTAGAGAAATTTCACTCAAAAGTTCTTGTGTGCTTTGGTTTTTGAACCAGTCGTCTGCGTGTTTAGTATCTGGAGCAAAACATGCTGTCAAAATACTTTGCATTTGGTACATGTCATCTTTGACCGAACGAATGAGACGTAACTGTTTGTTAAACTGTATGTACTCGTATTCTTCACTTATGGCTTCATGAACGATAGCAGTTGTTGTGTTCTCTGTTGTTGACATATCTGTCTTTATATTCCGGATAAAAAAATAAAAAAAAATAAAATTAGCGTTATTTTCTATCTTGTATAAAAGACCAAAAATAAACGCTTTACATGTATTTTTCAGCAACTTCGTCAAATAATTTTATAGCTTTGTCGATCTCATCTACTTCAAACGTTTCTTTACCTTTCGTGGGAGCACCATACATTTTCTCAAACTTTTCAAGCAGTTCTGTTTCTGCAGCTCTCATATCGTTAACAAACACAACCTTAACTCTATTGACTGTAGAGTCATATCTTTTAGTTATATTAAATGTTCTTCCTATCTTATATCTCTTTGTATTGAAGTCTTTCGGTTTCTGAACGATGTAAAGTAAGCCTTCACTGCAACGTTCCGTATCGAATGAACCATATGTTATGAAATTATATCCAACAACTGGGTCTAACCAGAACAAAACTACTGGTATAAGACTTTTGTCTATAAGATATGCTGTAGTTCCATGAAATCTTACCGATATCATAAGCTCAGGATTTCTTGTCAAAATTTTCTGAGATGAAGCATTTTTAACCCAGTCGTTTGTTTTCTTTCCTTCAGATAGTGTTAAAATGTCTGACAAAGAATATTTGTTGTATTTCTTTGAGTATCTTACGTTTAAATCACCAATTCTAACCATTTTGGTGTCATTGTCTATCTTTCTAACTGTTTCAAACTCAGTGTTTGACATTTCCTGTTCTTACATACAAAATAAAAAAAATATTTTAAAAAAACTAGCTTTTATTTTCTATCTTAAGGAAATTCATGAAATTTGGTCATTTTACTCAGAATTCAATAAAATATATTTTAGGCGACCAGGTCACTCGGTTAAATGAACTTCTCTGAAAAAGTGTGACAACATGACATTTTGACAACAACACAGGAAATATACTTCTTCGTAAATGTTTTGTCAAGACTTCTTCGTAATGAGCGTAAATCAGACAAAAATATATTTTAGGGTAGAAGGGTATATCTACCCCGTTTTCTACCCTCATTTCTACCCCATATGTCCTTACTGAAAAAGTATGTGTTCCATATGTCATTTTACTCAGAATTTTATACAGAATTCAATAAAAATATATTTTAGGGTAGAAGGGTATATCTACCCCGTTTTCTACCCTCATTTCTACCATAACTATTTACAAGCGTTTTACATGGTATATGTTGTGATGGTTCATGACTTTAAACAGTTTTTGTAGCTTCTATTTCTTCACGAAGGATATCAAAAATTTTAACTATGCCGAAGGTTTCTTTATATTTCTTCTTGACATCTGAAAGAAGGAAATCGTTAGCAGTTGGATAGTTTTTGTTCAGAAATGTCAACATGTCCATTTTATCTTCTGCTGGTTTCTCTACTTCTTTCTTTAAGTCAGTATGGTCTTTTCTCATTCTTTCTATCTCTTTGACGGAGTAGTTATATTTCCTTGTTGCTGCTTTACATTTTGAACATTGTGAGTTCATTTTTGCGTTATATTCTGAAATTTGTCCTGCTAAAACAAGTAAGGCGTAGATGGTCTTCTTTAACTCAAAGGCTGCTGGTTTATCTGTTGGTTCCATACCTTACCTCTTCTATCTTTATCTCTTATCTGCAAGACACACTCAGCAACTAACGAAACAAAGTTGTCGTAGGTCTTAAATTCTTCAGATTTATATATGTCAATGAAATATACCATATCGCAGTCTTTGTGGTTGTAATGAAATCCAAGAAACTCATAGTTTACATTACGTATGAACTTCTTTATTTCAACTGAGTCAGATGGTTTCACTTCTATTTCATCGAATTCTGGAATAGTGAGCTTTTGTTGTTGTATTTCAGGAAGTTTAGGTAGATGGTCAATAATATCCTGCATTTCATAAAGATACTGTTCATTTGTTTCATCTTTCGCACTACAGTTTAGATCTCCTTGGAGAAGTTCTTGCTTTATCTTCTGGATTTCTGTTTCGAAAGTATATGAAGAAGGAATGAAGCTTTTCATCTCTACTAACATAGAAGTTGGGTTCATGACTAACGAGTTTGGTGCTGTTGTTGCTGACATGTTCTTACAATAAAAATAAAAAAATATTTTTTGGTGGGACTACCTTTATTTTATTTCAGCACAAAATGAACGAGTTTGGTTTAAAAATACGGTGGAGCCAAAAATGGCTCGACCTCAAAACAAGCATTTTGTGTGTTTTCTACGAGGGTAGAAAAGAGGGTAGAAAACGGGGTAGATATACCCTTCTACCCTAAAATATATTTTTGTCGAAAAAAAAATGGTTCATTTACTCACAATATTTTTGTACAAAACGACCCCAAACTTTTAACTTCTTTTCTGCAGCTTCTAATGAAATTTTAGCGAGTTCATATTCTCTAAATTCTCTCTTTAAATCTTCTTGTTCCCATTGGTCTAGTTCGTATGGAGAATCTCTATAACCAGAACATATCTCACGTTCATGTTCTATTTGTTTTTCGCACATTTTTCTAACTTCTTGTTCGAACAAAGGTTTTGCATTCTCTACTGTATCTTCAAGTTCTTCTTCATCTAACTTCTCATGAACTTTCTTGTCTATGGAGTCCATAATTTTTCCAACTGCTATACAATATTTTGGAGAAGCCCACATTGCTATATAGTTTACAAGTCTTGGGTCTACATACATTCCTCTAACCTGTTTGATTTCATCCGGAATTCCTGCATGAACTTTGTATAAAAAGCAACCCGCCGTTTTCCGCGGGTTGGTATATTCTTCACAAAATGCCTTAAAATACTCTTCCCAGGACTTATTTTCCAACAACCTTCTAAAGTCTTTCCTAAACTGCTGACACATCTTTGTTGCATTTATATAACCATCCTTGTCTCTACGTAAGACTTCAATACCGTTGTAAGTACCTTTTGTGAATGTTTCGCCATTAGATTTGTTCGTGAACGTTTTTGCTTCGACTGTCATTTCAGTTCTTACAATAAAAATAAAAAATATTTTTTGGTGGGACGTCGGACATTCGTTTGTGGCTTAACCGTCGGACCACAACGATAAAAATCTCAACAAAACATATACGATGAAGTCTCAACAAACATTGACGATGAAGTTTGACAAAACATTTACGATGAAATCTATTTCCTGTGTTGTTGTCAAAATGTCATGTTGTCACCATTTTCAAAAAGATGTTAGTTGACCGAGTGACCTGGTGACACCTAAAATATATTTTTTTCTGTCTTAAGGAAATTCATGAAAATTCACCTGTTGAATTTTGTATAAAAAGCAACCCGCTGTTTTCCGCGGGTTGGTATATTCTTCACAAAATGCTTGTTTTGAGGTCGAGCCACTTTTGGCTCCACCGTATTTTTTCAACCAAAACTCATTTTTCAATACTTTTTCAGCACTTTTCCGTAGTTGTATATGAAAGACAATTCGAGATAAAAGTCATAGTACAATGGAATAATATGTTGCACACCATTTGTTGTGAACCAGACTTGAAAGTCAGAGAAACTGTTACTAGGTGGTTCGTAGAATTTAGAAGCAAAGTCATAAAAGTCCTTACCGATACAAAGAAAACTGTTGTTGCTTGAACTGAAACTTGCATGACACATAACATTTTGAGGGTCGAACACGTTTCTATAAACTGTCAAATCTGTTGGTGGGCGTATAAATTTAAACGGACCGTCAGGTGGCAATGGTTCGTTCTGGTTTAGTAACCGAAGAAATTGTGCCCAAGAACGTTTGTCTACTTCCCAAAATAAAAACTGTGTATCTCTTGGAGGGTTATTTTCAATCCTTTGAAATGAAACTGTGGAGTTCATCTTGTCATATTCTAGTTTCAGATAGTATGTTCCATTTAGTAAAGAATCGTATTTTTCTTGAAATTCCCAGTAGTATTTGTTTATTTGAGTTTGAAAGTCATTTAGAGTTTTTTCAAGACTTTCGTCTGAACGAATTGTAAAGATTCTCATTTCATCAAATTTGTCTATTAGACCATCAGAACCTCTATACTGCCCATGAAAATATACTGCGAACATAAAAGCGTTCGTTCTATTTGAAAACAAAACTCTTCTAAATCCTATTGCCTTTGCATCTGAAGGACTTTGAAGCCAACGAATTGGATAGTCAAACCTGTAAGTACGGGATGAAATTTCTTCATCTGATATAGTCCTACCGGCGTTTGTAAAGATATAGTCTAACGGTTTTGTATCTGCTACTTTTGTTCTTTGTTTTTCAACCTGAAACATTTAATATATGTAAAAATATATTGTTTTAAAAAACGTTTTAAAATGGTATGCAATGTTTTACTTCATGCAATGTTTTACTTCATGCAATGTTTTATTTCTGTGCCGTCTTCAAGCACACCCCAGTACTTACGCTTGGAGAGGACATGAACTTCGGAAAATACCTTATCTAGCTTAAAACAGCCCATCTTCTCACCGACTAAACCCATTTCAATGAGTTTGTTATAGCCTTCTTCGTTCGTCATGAGTGCGTCAATGTTCTCATAGTAAACCACAACTTTGGATTTGACTTCGGAGAAGAATTTGTTGTAGTTGTCGAGGACTGCTTTTGCGAACTGAGGGTAGGACCAATGTTCGACAATAGGTTTTACTGTGGTTACTAAGCCACCTTGACCTTCGGTGAACTCGTATTTCAAAACAAAGGGGGAGAACCTTTCAACAAAGTTGTCGACCTTCTCATAGTGTTTACTCTTCATCTCTTGAGGTTTTTTAATGGAATACCCCCATGTCGAATTCATAAGCAATTTTAATGTCATTGCAAGTTTGGGGTTTGAAGCTTTCCTAATATCATACAGTTGTTGTATGACTTTTCCAACTGTATAGTTCCTTCCTGGGAACTCACCATCTTCGTTTGGAATTCCAGTCGGGATATATTGGACGAACCTCATGTACGCAGCGTTAAGGTCGACATAGTATATCTTTTCGTTTGAGTCGAACTTGTCGCATCCAATCGGTCCAGTTCGTGGAAATTCAAGTGAGTCTCTTATCTTCTGAGAAACTTCTCCTGTTATCTCATAAACATCGTCGAAGCAACCTGTTTCATATAAAACCTTCTGACCTAACTCAGATGCTCTCCAATACAATTTGACGTCAATTGGATGTCTCAATGGAAGTTTGTTTATAGCATCTTGAAGTTCTTGCAACCTCATTGGAAGTTCTTCTGGTTCAGGTTGGTATCCGAACAATCCAACTCCTTTTGGAACTGTGTACTTCTTTTGTGCTATAACTTTGTCTGGAACAACTTTTGGTCTTGCTAACAGTGAAAAGTTTGTTTCGTCTTTTGGTACAAAAGTTTCTGTCAGCTTGTCATCTGGAATCGGTTCCAACAAACCTTTCTCGAAAAGAATGTTTACAGCTCTGACAATGTTGCACTTGCCTTTTCCGAACATAAGACTTTCGTTCAACATGAAGTGGTTGTGGACAAGTACAATCTTCAACCATGGTAAGTCTTTGTCAAAACATAGTCGTCATGTGAAGAACCTTTAGCTGTAGGTATGTTGACTCGGATATTCACATTTGCAACGGTGCAATTTTTGCCAATTGACCTCTGAGAATGTACCTTGTCTTCACACATGACTCAAGATACTATTTTCATCTGTAACAAGACCAGAGTTCCTGAGAAGAAAAATTCGTTGACAATTTTTTCAATTGAATTGTAAATTCCATACCTTGTCAAAATGTCAGAATTTCTGAACGGGAGTATCCAGCATGTGTCTGACTGCTTGAGGGTTAGGTTGATACCATTCGAACTTCACGCTTACAATTCCTTCAATTGCATTCAAAATATCTGAGTCGGAGTCAACCATTTGTTCTCTCTTTGTAGTCTTGAAGCGTCAAGAAGTTGTGCGGCTGTTGTGACATTGCCATGTGCATAGTAAATATGACCATCTAAATCTGTTACGGTTAGTCTGAGATTGTATCCTTTCTTATTTCCGTCTTGTATGGCAGCAAGTACACCATGAAGCCTTCTTTGTTCTTTCCTTCGTCAAAGTTTACTGTAAAGGTTCGACCAGATGTAATTTGACTTCTAACGGTACTTCTCATATGCATATCTTGTTCTTTCCATGGGAGCATGAATCCTCTGCACTACCTTTTTTCCTTCTCAAAGGATGCAATTGTTTCGTCATGTTTCCAGTAGAATCTGGCAAAGCCGTCGTGTCCTTCAACTTGAGGTTCACTAACATCGAAAGGCATGTCCATAAGACGTTCTTCTTCTAACCTCTCTAGTCTGTTTGGATAATTTGCGCGCGCTGTTTCTAAGTCCATTTCGTAGCGAAGACCAGACAATTTGTCATAGACTTTTTGGGTCTTCCTTCCTATAATTTAAAATTCTTCGAAACTTTCAACCATATCTTTCTAACTCTGCTTTTTATTCTAGCAGACCTTCTGTCCATTCTATATGGGGGCATTTTTATAAAAATAAAAAATATTTTTTTCTTTACTTAACATAACCTGCTGCCATAAGTCTTTGACGCCAACCATACCAGCTAATGAAAGGTTGACTTGGTTTAGTTTGGAAACTAAACTTTGGTTTTGGTTTATCTTCAGTTTTTGGCTCACCTTCTTCTATCGGTTTTTCGTCACTTTTCGGTTCTGACCTTACCTCACTTGCAGGTATGGTTGTGTCGTTAACATCTTCGTATATATAATGCCATTTGTTTTTGTTTTCCTTTCAACTTTTGTGTTTGTTGTAAAGTTAGAATATTTCGACTCTAAGTCAATGAGATGTTCTATAATGAACTGTTGGTCGGTGAAGAATACCTTCCCATCTGTTGTCTCGAAAGCTCCTTCAGACTTCAATATTTATTTGTGAGAGTCTGTTTCTTTTTTGAGATACTAGCCGTTCCATTTCTATGAAAAGTGACTTTGTAGTTAGGGTTTGTATTTCCAGACCTGGCACTTTCTATTATTGAATTTTTTTTTCATCTGTAAGTTCTTTGACAGGTTTTGACAATGGTTTGAACTTTTTGTTTGTGGTGTCAAATCTACCGTTTCAACTTCTTCGGTCATTTCATCTCAGTAAAAATTTTAGTTTGGTTTGTTTTCAACTGGTTGTTTAGGTTTTTTAAGTCGGTCTAAAACTTCCTGAGGTATAGGAAGAACTTGACAAACAGTGGTTGTGTACTGCTGGAAGCCGACAAATCCATCTGAGCCCATTTGTTCAAATGCTGTATTGTTCATTTCATCTCAGTAAAAATTTACATTCCCCACGTTTGAGCGGTTGCGGTTGGTTGTTGTTTCCCACTGTTGTGCATGGTTATATCCTCTGTTAAAGAATCTTTCACCTTGGTCCATATAGTGCCTGCTTGGTTATAGTAGTCATTTGCTTTGTTATAGTAGTTTCCTGCTTGTCTTCCTACATTGTCCATCCATCCTTGAACTTTTTCCTCTGTTTCAGGATTTGGAATAAGATTTGCTGCATCTCGTGCTAACATCCCAACCTTCTGTACAGTTTGTATAATAGGCTGTGCTTTCTCTTTAAGTATACTAATGTACTCAAAATCTTCCTTCCAATTCCAAATGCACCTCTGGCTAGTGTTCCCACTGCGGGTAAAAATCTAGATGCAACTCCTGCTAATGCGCCAAAAAACCATTTTTATGGGTTAAAAATGACGAATCCAAACAAGGACCCTATGTTTCTAAAGCGACAAAAGAAAGCACTCATGATAAAAATCTTTAGTTCAACACAAATGCTTGGTTTATGGATATCTTGGAAAACATTCCGAGGGTATAGAGAAGATGGACCTCCATACTGGCTAATATTTGTTGGTCAAAACACAAGATACTGTGAAGCCATACCATTACAGTCCAAAATATTTTAGATGTGAAAACTGCTTTGACAATATTCGTTGACAAATACCACCAACAAACTGACATCTGACTGTGAAAGTTCTTTCAAATCAGATGATGTAAAAAACTATCTGCGTTCAAAAAATGTAAACCAATATTTCATTGTCGACCAAAACCATTCTGCTCTTGGTGTCATTGACAGTTTGTATAAAAATCTTAAGAGACTTAAATCAACACAAGGTGGTGAAGGTAGATGAAATGTCATATGACGACAAATATAGACATTTCTCCCAGGCAAAAGATGAGACAAGTTTTAAATATTTACAATAGCGTAAACAAAAGGTTTGGGAAACCACTCCCCGAAGAAATGAAAAACAACCCTGACTTAGAGAAAGACTATATTTAATAGTTTAGTCAAAAGAGACAACAGAAAGAAATGCCAGGCTTCAAACTTAAGAAAGGTGACAAAGTAAAAATAGAAATACCTAAACGCGACCCATATGAAAATACTATTGACTATAAACAATGGAACTCGACAGGTACTCACATTCTGTTCGTAAAAATAGAAGAAGTATACAAGAGAATATTATGAAGTTTTAGGCAAACATGGCAAATGTACAGACTGCAAGCAGAAGATAAAACTACTATTTGTCAGACCTCGTTTCAAACTTGTTAAGGTTCAAGGTGGTATACTTTCAAAGACAGTTCCTAACAAATATAAGACAACTCCTGACGTATGCTAAAGAAGTTGAAAATGACGACTAAGCATTTCTATACTGCGTAAACTGTCATGTAAGGTGGCATGTAGTCTTTACTTTGTCCCGTTGTTTGCGTATACCCTGAAACGCGATGTATATGGTTTCCTCCTCCCTCAGTGTTACTCCAGTAACAATCTATAGCAAACTTAACGTTGTCTTTAACATCATATCCTTTACCTTTTGTCATTGCTGACCAATCCCAATATCTATGCTTATGCCAACCTGCTTGAGATGTACTTAAATCTATGTAGTGACTATGCGCAGGTAAATTTTCACCTGAAATCGTTTTACTTCCATCTGTTTCCTTTGAAGAGTTTGCACAATACAAAAACCTGTCGACTATTTGAGTCCAAGTTCCAAAACCAAGTACTACTTCTGGTTTGGTAGAGTTCATTGACGTATAAATAGAACCTATAGGATATACTGTTTGAAGTATTTCTGTCTTTAACGTTTGAAGCTCTGTTTTGTCTGCTTTCTTCTCTAACTCATCGTTAACATATGTTTTGTCAGCTTTTTTATCTAACTCATCGTTAACATATGTTTTGTCTGCTTTTTTATCATATAAATCTTGAGCAGTGAATTTAACTTTGTTTTCATCCTCCATGACATAAACATTTCTACATCTAGTGTATTTCATCGTCGTTATGTCTTCATCCGATGTTAAACCTTGTGGAAAGTTAGGAGGTTTCCAATTTAATACATCCCCACCAGTTCCATCAGCTCCTTCAACCGTTCCTTCAATATTTTCTATACCAACAGTTGCGAAGAAATCGTGTGTATGTCCAACGTCACTTTTCTTGTTTAAGGTTTCTTGTAAGTTTGTATATTTGCAATGGTATGTGTATGAGTCTTTTTAGAATATTCTTTGTCAGCTCTTGTCACTTCACTTGACATTTTATTGTCAACATATGTTTTGTCAGCTTTGTCATCTAACATTGCTGGTAGTTCATCTACGTCATAGATGTTATGTGTATGATGTTTTTGTGGGTATGTTCTATCTGTCCATGCGAGAATATAGTCTCTTGTTGCATCTACATACTCTTTGTCAGCTTTGTTGTCAATATCTGCCTTCAAAAGAAGTTCATCTATAGGTTTCTCGTTTAAAGTTCTTTTTGTTGGATTTATACAAACAGTATGGTTCTTACTGTCTTGAAACAGAAACTCGTCTGTCAATGGGTTTATCGTCAGTTTTAAGTTTCCTTCTTTCAATGACTCAGATATCTTAGAATAGTTTGAAAAGTTTGTTGTGTTCTTATTTAGAGCTTGCACAATGAGTTGTCGGTTGTGTTGTATTTCTCTCATAGACGCTGTTTCTTTCGACATTTTTATTCTAGATAAAATATGCTTTCAATAGAAAAAGAAAATTCAAGAGTTGCTACAACTAAACCATTAGATGAACTTTTTACGAATGTCGGTCAAAAGTTTGAGACAGAGACCGTAAAGCATGAAGGCTATCGTTTTGACTACCCATTGAGATGGTTAAGAGACCCATCCGTCACAAAAGCTGTTGGCTTTCGTAGAATGAAGTTCATTTCAGAAGCCATACATGGTTTCCCATTTACGGTCGCTTTTGAAATTCGATACTATAACAAAGAAAAACGTACGTATGAGAAATTTGAACAGGGAAAACTTTTACAAGTTAGTTTGCTTGTAAACTTAGAAACAACTCTTCAAGCTTTTCAAGAAAAAAATAAACGATATCTATATCGAATATGCAAAACAGTACAACATTGACGAAGGAGAGTACCATCTCGATATTATATATGACAGGAAAAATGCAACTGTTAAAATCAATAGAATAGAAGACCTTGGAGAAGACGTTTATATTTCTACAAAATATAACAACTTGGCATGGTATAGATTTTTGAGGATGTTAAATCAGCCTGCAGAATATCCAGTACACCCGAACTTTTATGAAGTCGAAAACCCTAATGGAACATATGAAAATGTTTTCGACTCAGATGCTATTATCGTTCATGCTTCATTTTCTGGTGCACAAAACTCTTTTTTATGCTTGGCAAATGACTTTTACGAAAAAGCTACAAAGCTATATGAACCACCGAGTGGAAGTATTTCAGACTTTCAAGTATGGTTTACAACAGATGGAAGAAAGAGAATAGTTCCATTATACCATGCGTTTTACTTAGAACTTAGTTTCATATACAACTACTATCGAACGGTAAAAATATAATTTTAATACGGTTGAGGTGTTGGATTTGGTTGCCAACTAGACTGTGGTGCAGGTTCAGGCTGTTGTATAACAGGAGCTTGTTCTTCTGGTTCAGGGTCTTTAGGTATAATACCAACAAACTGACCTACTCTTTTACCAATATTTTTGACTCCGTTCCAAATTCCTCTTCCTACGGTTTTTATTCCATTCCATATACCTCTTCCAACATTTCGAAAGAAGTTTCCTATTCTTCCAAAGAAACCCATTTTACTATATGTAAAAATCTAATGTCCGCCTAGTCTCTTACGTTTCCTTCTGAGTTCCATAGCATTTTTTAACTGGAGCTCATACATTCTATTTCTCCTCTGGTAGAAACATACTCTGGGTCAACTCCTGTGTTCGCGTCATCTGCATAGAGTTGTTTATATCCCACTTCAGGTTTGTATAAAACTCTTTCCATCTCATATTTGCATACATGGTGGCAAACCTAACGCAGCGTCATTTGACATGGCAGTTTGCATTTGTACATCTGTTGGCACTTGACCATAGTTTGCCATTGCAGTTTGTATTCTAACTTCATTTGGAATATTCTCTGGGTTTGGTTGTCCAGGTTGCTGTGCATTCGCTAAGTTCTGTGCGTCCATTTAATATTAGATAAAAATATCTCTTACGAGTACATATACTGGACATTTGCAGGCATTGGTTCATCTTCATATTCTCTATGTCTTTCTGCCACGTCAAATAAGTAAATGACACAATGGAAAAAACCTAAAACAAGTAGTCCTATTTCAAACCACATTTACTTACCAATAAAATTTCTTTGTTATGACACTTTCTCCGGTTTATAGGACCTCTCTCATATTCTATCTTATCGTATCTAAAATCATAGTCATGTATGTCCTCTAACCATCTCATGACACTTTCCAAACCACTTTTATCGGATGTAAAGTAAAAGCATGGATGGTTATGTAAAACGTCTAAAGTTTCTAAAGAGTCTCTCAAAGTCCAGTCTACTTGGTATTGAAAATCCCATGTGTTATAGAACGGCGGGTCCACTATAAAGAAAACATTTTCCTTGTCTTTATATTTTTCATACAAATCTGTCCAACGACATCTCACAAACTCTATACCCTCAGTATATTTTTCTATGTTCTTTTTGAAAACCTTTGTATAGTTAAGATATAAAACTTTTGACATAAGTGTTTCAATGTCATGAACTCTTATAGCACCACTATATAATAGTCTAGAAGATATACTATCCCAGTCAATATACTCTGCTTTTTTCAAAACCTCTCTGACAGTATTTTTCTTATCTAATGGTATACGTTCCATCTTACCTATAGGTATCTTTTCTTTTAACTCTTTCAATATTTTGTTTGTGTCTGGTATATGTTTGAGACGGTTCATATAGTTGTCGAAGTCATTGCATATAATCTTTGAGTCAGGAAATACAGTATGGCACAAATGGGATATATAGAAACTTCCACCGAACAAATCTACAAATGTTAGACCATTCGGTAGTTTCTTAAGTTCTCTCAATATAATATCTTTACATCTACTCTTATTTCCAAAGAACGGTAACGGTGGTTTTGTAAAATTCATTTATATATAATAATAAAAATGTTTTTACCTGAAAAGTGACAGAAAAGTAACAAAACATGTACGAAGAAGTCTTGAAAATTCAAGAGGGTAGAAAAGAGGTTAGAAAAGAGGTTATATCTAACCTTCTACCCTAAACATTATTTTTGTCTGATTTTACGAAGAAGTCTTGACAAAACATGAAAACATATATAATTTGTGAAAAGCTCCTGGAAGACCCGTATATAAGAACTTCATTTATACTAAACATCTTCAGGGCTAGAAGGCACGAAGTGCCTGGAAGCCCCACTACCTTTTTTTTTTTTTTTTTTTTTTTTTTTGGTAACATGGTGATAAGAACAAATAGTCAGTTTGCATGGTTTATGATGAGATAATTTCGATTTAAAAAAAAACATAAAAATTGATTTTAATGAGCGATTATATTTGAATATGCTCTCCTAATTTGAAGGAACTGGTTAAATCATGAATTGATCATGAATAATTTTTTTTCAAAATAACAATTATAATTTCATATTCATTATAAGTTGAAAATATATCATAAAGGCTTTATGAATGATAAATTCCTAAAAAACAAGTTAGTTTGTTTCTGAAAATAATAATAATAAAAACCAATTTAGACCCAATAATTTTTGGCGGGATAATTGAGATGTTACGATTGAATTAAAAAAAAGCGGTAATACATTTTTACAATGATGAAGAGGCTGGCAACCTCTAAGTCAAAGCACTTGTTAATGCAATGATGAAGAGGCTGGCAACCTCTAAGTCAAAGCACTTGTTAATGCAATGATGAAGAGGTTGGCAACCTCTGAGTCAAAGCACTTGTTAATGCAATGATGAAGAGGCTGGCAACCTCTAAGTCAAAGCACTTGTTAATGCAATGATGAAGAGGTTGGCAACATCTGAGTTAAAATACTTTTCCCAGTGTGGGAGTAATTTGAAAAAAAAATTTAGTTCATATATTGAAAAAAACAAAAGTAAAAATTAAAGTTTATAGGTTGTGTTTTGATGAGCTAATTGTTAAGATATTGTAGTTATAAAGAAAAATTTGAGTTTCGAGGAAGTTTCTCGACAGAGGAAACTTTCATATCGAATGTTGCCTCTGTCGAGAAACTTCCTCACACCTCAAGAGATGCGAAGAACTTTTGACAGGCAAAGTGCAATATTGATAGGTGATTGCACTCTGCCTGTCACATACATCTCGACAGAGGCAACATTCGATATGAAAGTTTCCTCTGTCGAGAAACTTCCTCACACCTCAAGAGATGCGAAGAACTTTTGACAGGCAAAGTGCAATATTGATAGGTGATTGCACTTTGCCTGTCACATACATCTCGACAGAGGCAACATTCGATATGAAAGTTTCCTCTGTCGAGAAACTTCCTCACACCTCAAGAGATGCGAAGAACTTTTGACAGGCAAAGTGCAATATTGATAGGTGATTGCACTTTGCCTGTCACATACATCTCGACAGAGGCAACATTCGATATGAAAGTTTCCTCTGTCGAGAAACTTCCTCACACCTCAAGAGATGCGAAGAACTTTTGACAGGCAAAGTGCAATATTGATAGGTGATTGCACTTTGCCTGTCACATACATCTCGACAGAGGCAACATTCGATATGAAAGTTTCCTCTGTCGAGAAACTTCCTCACACCTCAAGAGATGCGAAGAACTTTTGACAGGCAAAGTGCAATATTGATAGGTGATTGCACTTTGCCTCTCCAAACTCTCAAATATGCTTCTCACCATACATCAAACGGGCAAATTTCTCCTTAAATTTCTCTTTATTTGAAAGGTTTTCAACAAAGCTATACCTTAAAAATCTGTGCTTGTTATATCTGATCATTTGTGTGTTAGGGGAGGTAAATTTATTCCACTAGAGCAAATTTTTTCCGAGTTTCTCATTCGATGAGAAACCTCGGAACAACTCTTCAATAGTGTAATGAATTTGTGGTATTTGTCCTGCAAACAGCGAGAGAACTTGTCTGTAATTCGTTTATGATGAAGTTATCTGGATGTCTCTCAGATGAGGAAGGAAGTCCAGAAAACTTCACCATAAGTTAATACTTGTGTATTTCTATGACTCTCTTCACGTCAGAGAATGTAAATTTACTCGAATAGGGCAAAGTTCTGCTCAAGTTTCTCATTTGATGAGAAACCTCGGAAGAACTTTGCCCTAAGGTAATGTATATGTGATTGTTGGCCCGCAGAGAAACAAGGAATCTGTTTGTATTTCGTTTATGGTGAAGTTCTCGGATGTTCTCTCAAATTATATGGAAAATCAAGAGAACTTCACCATAATTTGTTGTAGTTGTGATTCTCTGGCTCTTTGCCGGCCAGAAAACTAGAAAATAGTTTATAGTGGGAGTATGCTCGATGAATACCTACTCACTAAAAATATACGTTATTTTTTGTTTTCCTATGGGAAAATAGTTTTGATTTTTATACTATCGTATGCTTTGTTATTGCATGAATTGTCTATTTTCTTAATAAAAACTCATTTTTCCGTGTGATTCTGAATCAATGCATTCCAAAAAAGCGTTTTCCGCCTTTGAAACGTGAAAACACACATTGCATGAAGAATCAGAGAAGATTTTCTAACTCGAAGAATTCCAAAAAAAAACCAATTATAGTTTTTTATCGTGAAAAATTTACTTTTTAACTACGAAATTTTTAAAACGCGATTTTTTTGGAGATTTTTAGAAAATTCAAATATGATAGACATGTGTTATTTTATGTGCTCTATGAGTTTATCAGCTTAATTTGGAGTTATTATCAAATTTCAAAAAGTCTAAAAAATTGAAAGATAGAAAATCTTCTCTGATTCTTCATGCAATGTGTGTTTTCACGTTTCAAAGGCGGAAAACGCTTTTTTGGAATGCATTGATTCAGAATCACACGGAAAAATGAGTTTTTATTAAGAAAATAGACAATTCATGCAATAACAAAGCATACGATAGTATAAAAATCAAAACTATTTTCCCATAGGAAAACAAAAAATAACGTATATTTTTAGTGAGTAGGTATTCATCGAGCATACTCCCACTATAAACTATTTTCTAGTTTTCTGGCCGGCAAAGAGCCAGAGAATCACAACTACAACAAATTATGGTGAAGTTCTCTTGATTTTCCATATAATTTGAGAGAACATCCGAGAACTTCACCATAAACGAAATACAAACAGATTCCTTGTTTCTCTGCGGGCCAACAATCACATATACATTACCTTAGGGCAAAGTTCTTCCGAGGTTTCTCATCAAATGAGAAACTTGAGCAGAACTTTGCCCTATTCGAGTAAATTTACATTCTCTGACGTGAAGAGAGTCATAGAAATACACAAGTATTAACTTATGGTGAAGTTTTCTGGACTTCCTTCCTCATCTGAGAGACATCCAGATAACTTCATCATAAACGAATTACAGACAAGTTCTCTCGCTGTTTGCAGGACAAATACCACAAATTCATTACACTATTGAAGAGTTGTTCCGAGGTTTCTCATCGAATGAGAAACTTCGGAAAAAATTTGCTCTAGTGGAATAAATTTACCTCCCCTAACACACAAATGATCAGATATAACAAGCACAGATTTTTAAGGTATAGCTTTGTTGAAAACCTTTCAACGAATGAGAAAGTTAGGAAAAACTCTACCTTATAAGATCAACTATAGAATTCATAGCTCTTTGAATACTAGGAAACATTAATGCAGTAGTTTAAGGCAAAGTTTTTCCGAGATCTACGAAGGATAGAGAGATCTCGGAAGAACTTTGCTCTGCACAAGTAATTTCAGAATCTATGGTCCTCTAAGGACCAGAGGACGGTAATGTAAAAGAATGATGTCAATAGCAGATAAATAATAGCCTTAGAAGTTCAATACGTGCACAGTTTGACTACATTGCCCTAGTAGTTAGACTGTACAGGTATTGTACTTCTGGCCTAAAAAATCCTCATTGAAGACAATAGGTAGAAACTCAAATTGTTGATAAATATCCCAAAATATCATAAGAGAGCCCATTATTGTTACCTGGCTCCTTCCTGGCTTTCAAAGTCTGTAAACGAGAAGTCTTGGCTCTTGTGGTAATTGCTTCCAAGAGGTTTACTCAATTCGAGTAAAACTATAAACCCTGTAACTGACATGTACTTCCTTGAATGGGCATTAAAAGTAATTTAACCTAACGAATAGTAACATGACCACTATTTTGATGACTAAGAAATGTAATTCATCAAATTGGCAGTTCGATGAATGATACCATGCAATCAACAACTGGTTTGTTACAATTTGGCTTGATTCATCAAATTGGCGGTTTGATGAACCGAATATTGTAATCCAGACTAGGTCAGTTACAATTTGGCTTGATTCATCAAATTGGCGGTTTGATGAACCGAATATTGTAATCCAGATTAGGTCAGTTGCTTGTTGGTCATAGATAATAATGACACCTTTCAGTTTTTGTTAAACATCTCAATTATCCCGCCAAAAATTATTGGGTCTAAATTGGTTTTTATTATTATTATTTTCAGAAACAAACTAACTTGTTTTTTAGGAATTTATCATTCATAAAGCCTTTATGATATATTTTCAACTTATAATGAATATGAAATTATAATTGTTATTTTGAAAAAAAATTATTCATGATCAATTCATGATTTAACCAGTTCCTTCAAATTAGGAGAGCATATTCAAATATAATCGCTCATTAAAATCAATTTTTATGTTTTTTTTTAAATCGAAATTATCTCATCATAAACCATGCAAACTGACTATTTGTTCTTATCACCATGTTACCAATATCAGAATTGTCTTTACAGCCAAAATTTCGCTCGATAAAAGTCCATCCAATAGTGAGATAATTGAGCAACGAACATTTTTCCATATCACAAAAAACCTCCCCATAATTGAATTACGTGAACTGTTGAAAAATCCATTGTCAAAAAAAATTAGAGAAAAAAATAGAGATTATTCTGATGTTAGGAAATAAAATATAATACTATGTGTAATTAGAATATCGGTTTTCCATAGTTTATCAATATATGATTTTTTTTTATAAAAAAAAAATAATCAAATGTTGTCTTTGTCCTGTGTCTGTTAAAATATGAACCAGATTAATATTTAATTGCATTTGAGATAACTAAAAAAAAACAAAATTTGGATAAAAATTAAAAATGTTGAATAAAGTACAATAGAAGGATAGAGTCACCATAATTTGTAGTTTGGCATTTATTTGTTCTTGTTATTCAATTTGAATTTTGATTTTTTCCAAATATGATTGAGATTGTAAAATTTCTTAATGAAACCAGTATTTATTTGTTGTTGTTGGGTGTACTTTGGTATGTTTTGAATAATAGATGATATTTCGAATATTCGTCTAAACTTTAAGTAGGTGTCTCAAAAATGAAGGTGATCATTCAATTTTTTTAAAATACCATTCAAAATAAATAGTGGGCCATACAAATGAAAAGTTAATTAAATCATCCTAATTTGATTTATGTTCTAGGAATAATAAGTTAGTTGATTTCAGATATCTGAAATTATCAATTTAAAAAGAAACAGAAATAAACAGTATAATTATGTAAATTCACACAAGTTATGAAGTTTTAATTTAGGCAGAATCAATTTCAACATTGAATGATATTCAAAATATTAACATTCAAAAAATAAATATTGGAAAATATATATTGTTTTATATAAGAATATTCGAAGAATTTATAACTTAAAAATATAGATATTTTAATAATGAAAAATTGAAATATCGATATTAAAATAAACTTCACAATATAGAAAGATTTTGTAATTCAAATAATTTTGAATTCGGTTATAAAAATTGTATCATATTTCAGTTTAATATACACAATTCCATTCTTAGAGAAAAATATAATTCATAATCACAAAAATTCTACAATTTTGACAAAATTATTTTTAACTCACATATTTATTTCGAAATTTCAAAGAAAATTTGAAATGTAAAAATAACTCAAAAAGTGGTTTTAAATTGGCTTGTACTCAAAATGATTAATTATTATCAAATTGTATGTTCCATCATAAGAGGTTTTTATTTCCTATGAATATTTTTAAAAAATAATCCCTGTGAAATTAGAAATCTTCGAAACTTCGACATAACACCCAAATTATGTTAGAAAACCTAATAATCTATATAAAATTAATATGAATTTTGGTATTAATTCGACAGCTTTATTAGAAATAAATTTAAAAATAACGAAATCAAACGAGGTTTGATGTCATTGAAGGTGCTTCCATATGCACCTCAGCAAATACATCAGTGTCGTTTTCTCCACGTTTGGCTCGGCCTTCAAGACCTTTGTACATTTTCTTTGTTAGGACAGATCTGATGTATTGAACTTTCGGAATCCAAATAGCGTCCATAATATAATGGTAGCCAAAAACTGCGAGCACTGCGTACAGTTTCTTGTTGAATCCGCTTGTAAAGTATCTGAAGAATTTCGATCCATTTCCAGAAATAGCGTATCTCATGAGATTCTTTGGATAGTTAGTAATCCATGATTCATATTGCCCTTCTCCTTGATGCTTCAGACGATTGACTTCTGCAAATTGTTTAATCTCATCTTCAAGAACTGAGTCAAAAGTATATGTAATATCGCATCTGTAAACTGTGATCATGTTCTGGGAGTATGGTGTGGTCTCTCCATATGATTGCCAGCTGCCATACTCGATGTTTGAAGAATCATGGATTCTGTGCTCCTTGGACTCACCAGGATTCTTGTATGAAACCATCCAATGCATCTTAGGTTCAGGAGGAGCAGAAACATTTTCCTCAATTGCAGATATTAACTCGTCAAACTCGACAAGAGGGTAATTGAGTTCTCTGTATGTACTTCCAGCATCGAGTTCTGGGAGCTTAGGGCAGCAAAGCCTCTTATTGACTTCATCATCTGTTTCATTGATAACAGAGGATTGGCTTTCAGCTAAGAATGTTGCACCATTACGGTTGCATAGATTCAAGAAGTATAGTGTAATAGAAGCTGCCAGGCCAAGCATTCCTAAAATGTACCAAAACGCTATATGTTTTGTCCACAAGCCAGATCTTACTGAACAAGACATCGACATTATGAGCATTGCCCAAAATACATTAAGCAGCAAGCTCATAAATAAAGCGTAGTAATTTTGATATTTTCTAAGAACGCCAATTCCCAAAAATAAGATCGTTGGAGTAATTGCTATAAGAATTGATATGAATACTCCTAATATTGATGTTTGGCAGAAAACTTCTTCTGTCTTATGAAAACAATGAGATTTAATTTTTACTGATTCATTATCATATACGCATTTATAATCACAAACTTCTCCAAAACAGCAAAATTGGCCATCTTGGAGTTCTCCTGTGCATGTTCCTACTGATTCGTCCGTATAACGAATGGATAGTAAGAAATGTAACATAAAAAAAATAAAAGTGACAATGTCAAAAAATATGGGTCTGATCAGTGCGATTAATTTCATATAGATATGGAATGAACTTATATGTTAGATATCGGACTTAAAGTCCAAAATCAATTATAACTCTTTTTTGATCAAAAATATCAGTTATCATCAAATTCAGCGCCAATATCGGTAGTCCGAATAATATTGGTTACCTTGTTGATACCTATAAGCTTGAAGAACAGTTTCAAAACGCAATTAATTATCAAGATTGAAACTAAATCATAAAAATTTTGCGTCATCACGATATATTGTATCATTGCTATTATATAAAAATGAGTGTCTGTAAACTTAAACTTCTTGATTCTGAAATAATAAACTGGTTTGTGATTAATAAGAAAAGTGATAAATTGCGAATAAGGTAGATATGATACACCGTATGAGTGTAGTGGAATAAAGAATCTACTGAGAAAAATTGAGATAGATATTAAAAATATCCAAATTGCGAAGCGGAAAGAGCCAACAGAAACTTCAACACCGCTCATTAAAAGTAGCATTATAATTGTTGAACCATAATTTCCAGGTAACGGTGCAAACAATGCAATCATCGGATAAATATACTGAGCGTATTGTTTAAAAAACAGCAAGAAAATAGAAGAGGAAGTAATTACAAGTAGCATAATTAATGTTACAATATGCTGTGAAACCCAATTCAATGGTCCGAAAATAATGTTATTATTTTGGAACATCAAAATAAAAATGATCAGACTGCCAAAATGGTTGCTTGTTGTATGCACTAACTAATCAATTAAGAATAATTATTATTGTATACAAAAAATACTGACTAAATTGCTCAATCCAAAAAAAAATATATTTTTAAGACCTTGTGAAGTTGAAACAAATATCCATAACAATTACAAGCTAACTTCATATCTTATAAAGCTGTTTCCTTCAAAAAAAACCTTTGATCGAAATTTCCGGTTATCAAAACTATTTTTCAAATTTAATGTTTAAATAATATTGTGTATGAGAATGTTATATAAAATATAATAAAATGAGATCTCAAATGCGTAAAATAAAGATGACAAATCCTTTACATTTTACGAAAATGTTTGTGATCTACTGATTAATATAATTTCAGATTTTTTCGAAAAAACGAAAATATTTTTGAGAAAGATTAGCGAAGAATTCAATAGTTTACATATGGATTTAATCAATTTCTTTGATGTCGATAGTAAAGATTGAGGGAATTTTAGAGAAGAGTAAATTCATTGACGGAAAAATCGTCTCTGATTCTCTTTCTAATATACTTACCGAGCTCTGTCAGCTTGTTTCTCTTCAAGGAAATCAGATAAATATTTTAATGGCCAGTAAAAAAGACACAGACACAGTAATGTCGAAGTTTGTACCGAAAGAAGAGTATGATGAACAAATACAGAAACTAAAAGAAACCATATCTCAAATGAATTCGCAACAAACAGAAATTAATAATTCATTTTCGAACAATTTGAAGGAACAAGTACATGAACTGGAAATCAAAATGAATCAAATGCAAACTAATGCCAACGATACTACTGCAAAAATCGAAAAAGATGCTGAGTTTCAAACAACTTTATTTAATAAATTGATTTCTAAGCAAGAAACAACAACCAAGACATTAACCGAAGAAGTCAACTCCCTCAAATCGGATGTAGAATACTTTACACAAGAGATCAAATCTCTCAAAAATTCGCCTGTGAAAGATGTTTTGTCACAAATGTCAATTATTGAGAGCCGCTTGGATGCAATTCCCGAAAAGTTCAATGTTTTAGAGAATAACTTCCGTACATCAAATATATCTTTAGTTACAAAAGTTAATGATTTTATTTCAAATATGTCGAAATTCGAAGAGCAGGTCAGACACGAGCTCTTGGATATAAGAAGAATGACTGTAGACTTCCCGACATTTACGATTGATGGTAAACTTGACACTCCTTCGTTAATTCAAGCTGTAAATCGCGATACAAGAAGAATTGACTCATTTAACGAAATGATATCAGGTCTTGGTAATTCATTTAACAATCTGGTTGGTAAATTTGAGCAATTAGAAACGCATTTCCAAAATATGGAATATTCTATCTGCGAATTTTCAAATACCGTGCAAAATACTACTACATCTCTTCAGAAGAGAACGGATCTCAATCACGAGCACGTTAAAAAGCTTGGAAAAGAGATCAAAATTGTTTATGATAATTTATCTACCTTTTCAAGGCAAGCAACTGATGGTCTAGCCCACGATGCGACAGTTCTTACCAAGGTGTTGTCCCATTTCGAGAAGATATCCAACAGGCCAGTCCCGGTGATCCAAGGCTATGAAGAATTTTACAACGATCAAAACGATTTATTCAATCAGATCGGAAAGTGCGCTGACGATTTCAACAAGGCGATCTTCCGCCATATGAAGGCCGACCTGGAGGGCATCCCCTCGCAGTTCATTTACCTTCCGAGCAACGAAGTCGACGAGGCGTACAAATCCCAATCAAAGGAACACATTGAAGAGAACAGGAAGCAGGCAGAGTCATCGACGAACCAAAGGATAGAGACAATTAACAAGAAAATTACAGTAATTTGCGATAATTTGTCAGAATTACAAAAATCAATGGACAGTCAATTAAGACAAAAAGCAAATGCTGAATATACAGATAGGATGTTTGAAAAGCTCAAACATGCCCTTGATAAACAAAAAGATTTTATTTCGGACTCGATTTCGTCGTTTTCTGCCGCTACAGCTCCTCTTCCTTACGCAATGTCGAATAGAGAAAGGCCTTCTACAGTTACTGGTCAAAGATTCGCAGCGCAAAGGAAGAGTTTAAACGCTATCGGTTCTCATGAGCTTTTATACGGAAAAAGGAGTAGTGTTGTAAGCAGTCCTCTTGTTGGTCGAAAGTAATTCTTTGTATTTTTTTATTGTTTTGTTTTTTTTTATACTAAAATCGAAAAAAATATTTTTAAGAAACTTTATTACAGGAAAACAGTAAGTTCCATTAACAAACTAATATGTATTTATGCAAACAAACATCAAAACAAAAATATATAATTAAATATCTAATTTTTTGAAGTATAAATCGTACATTACTGCATCTTTCTTCTTTATCTCTTTGAAAAATTGCTTGATTTCTGATTCTTTTGCATATAATTTCTGTTTGAGCGCTTCAATTTTGTTATTTCCTCGAGTCAATGCATCGCTATTGTTAGCCTTAACGAAAGTAGGTGTTAACAATTCTATTATTTGTAAATCTGTAAGTTTTTGAATGATAATTTTTGCCCCATCTTCATTGGGATAAAACGTTACATTATACTTCTTTTGATTTTTCGTAGTATTTCTAAGAATATCTAAAAGTTCGTATGCAAATTGTTCAAAATTTGCTTTAGTTTTGCTTTGTTGAATTAGTTTATCGTAATCTTCTGCAGTAAATTTGGATTCTATAAGATAAAATATATCTGAATCTAAAGTAATTTCGAATTTAAGCCATTTGAGAGTATCTAGAAGTCTTTTCTTAGACATTTTTAAATGAAAATTGATAACTTCCTTGTTTTCTCCATTCTGACAAGTGAATGGTATGTCTGCATCAAAGAGTTCGAAAGTTCCGTAAGGAACTCTGTATTTTTTTGTTTGTTCGGTCTTTTTCATTGATGCAAACATTTTTTTAAACGTCAAAATTTTTTTGGAATCTTTTTTTATTTTATTAAAATTGTTAGAAATATTCTCATTTTTTGAATTTCAAGAAAATTTTGGAATTTTTATGATCTACCAAAGAATGAATAAATACTAGTACATTCATTTTATCACAGATTACTTTAAATTTTTAATACTTTTTTTTTTGAATATTTTTTTTTTCTCCAATTTTCATAAAATACATAATTTACATCCCATAACACAATGTGAACATGTCAAACACATCTTCCAAATTTAATAAATCCTAAATTTTTATTCAATTTTCATGAATATTTGGGCAAAGATTTAATTTTGATATTTAAACAATATATACACAAACATTTTATTAGTAAATCTCGACCATTCTGACAGGAGAAAGGGGTTCAATCGGGATCGGTTCTTGCTCCGCGATAGAACTAACAGTTATATGCGAAGCTCTCATCTTTTGTAATAAAAGAGCATATCTAGATGACTTAACCTCATCAATATATGATTGCTCAATTCTCTGTAATTGGGAAGCAATAGAATTAAATGGGAAAAGATTTTTGAATTTTAGATTCATGAAAACTTCCGAAACAATTGATTTTGAGTCAATCATAAGGTTGTATGTACCAATTTGATAAGAATGCATAATCAAACCAATCTGTTCCAAAAAGAATGCAGAGAGATATAATCTCCTAAGGAGTTGGCTCATTTTCGAGCGCTTTTGGGTCATTACAAGGCAAATTTGTTTTAATGCTAATTCTGTTGATCCAAAAAAGAGGAACAAAGTTATTGTTGTTAGAGCAAGTTGCCCAATAGGAGGAGATTCAGGCATCTTAAATATGGACCAAAAGTCTTGATTTATTGCTAACTTTTCAACTCTTTCGTATTCTTGACGGATTACGAAGAGCATATTCTCTTCTCCAGCCCAACAATAAACTTTATTCATACTTTTCGTGCATAATCCGATTGCGCAAAGTACATTAAATAAATCATAAAATCTTCTCTTTTCGCAGTTTTCAATTTCGGCCATGGTACTAACTTTGATATACTCACCTGGCTTTGAGTGACACAGGTTGATGACGTTTTTTACGGTGTTCGCGAAGTTACTTTCTTTTCCAATATTCATATTTTTGAAAGGTGTTATTAACCCAAATAACCGTTTTATATCGCAACTTGAAAATTGAAAATAATATCAGTTAGTATATTTATATTAAAATTCCGCAATGTTGGCAATCAAAAGATTTTGATAATCAATTTTGAGAAGTTTGCATTATGCAAAATCACGTCATATTGGATAATGTCAATTTTATTATTCATTATTATATAGATACAATAATGCAGTATATTTTAAGTTTGGATCACATTTTATACATTCTGTAATTTTGGATGTGTTTATTAAACCATTTAGTTTTAGCATCATTTCTTATTATGCGATTTTACATAAAACTATACAAATTTTGAGATCGGGCGGTAAAATTTTTAGATTGAGGCTTTGCTATAGGATATGAGGTTTGATCGTTAGGTTCTTTAAAGATCAGAATGAATGTTTAATCTCTTTAATCAAAATCTCATCGGAGTGAGTTCAGATTTTTTATTTTTTCAGATTTGTCAATTTTTTCAGATTTGTCAATTATCATTAATATTTAAAACATTTTTGGAGTTCTGTATCATGTTGTTTTAGATTCCACGGGGCAACACTCTATTAAATCGAAAATTTCACGAAAACTTTAGAAATAAGGAGATTCGTATAATGACTCGGTATTTTATTAGATATGAGGAAAATCATTAAATGTGTAAAGTGTCCATATGCAATTTACATTTTATTCATTCATATCCATTAAAATATTACATAAAACCTCATGTACAATGAGGATAAGCAACCAAATACTATTGCATATCATTTTAACTTCCAAAGGGACCAAATTCAAAATAAAATATTTTGTTCGATTCTAATATAGATAAAAATCTTACAAAACATAAAGATTCTCTTTACATATGCGAAAGACAATATCAGTATAACAAATCTTGCTTCTATCTTTCATTTTTAAAAATCTCAGATTCTGGATTTCAATTAAAAATACCCAAATTAGACAGCCAATAGGATGGACAATCAATGTTCATGATGAAATACAATATTATTTTTTTTGTCAATCTCATCAAATTCAATAGTTGTAAATTTTATTTGCCAAATGGTTGAATATTCTTTTAGATTTAAAGCATTAATTTTAACTGCTTTCTTCCTTTGTGGAGGCGCTGGTGCTGTCTTAGGGAATATAATTTACAATATGAAGTCTTTAGGTTTACATAATACAGTAAAATCTTTCCAAAAACCGATTTTTCAGACATGGTCAATGTTTTTTGCAATGACATTACTCATATTTGATATACCATACTTTAAAACAGGAGTGTGCCCAGGTTACACTACTGGCGGAGTAATTAGAGGAATTGGATTATTCCGCGTCGTTTCAATTCCATCACTTTGCGATTTAGTTTCAACATATTTACAGAATATAGCCTATTATATCTTCCTCCTTCAGTTTGGCAAATCACAAGAGGCTCAATTTTACTTTTTACTGCAATTTTATCAATTTTCTATCGAAAGAAGAAACTACGCTCCCACGAATGGATTGGTGTCATTACGACAATCATTGGCATCTCAATTGTCGGCGTTTCTTCCATACTTTTGAACAAAGATCAATCATCAACGAGCAGAGAGTCATCTACAGCCATACAATTTATTGCAATACTATTAGTATTCATTGCTCAAGCATTGCAAGCTCTCCAAACTGTTGTTGAAGAGAAATTACTCCACGATATCGAAAGTACAGAAAATGAGTTAGTTTCATACGAAGGAATCTGGGGTCTTTACTTCACAACATTCATTGCAATGCCAGTGGCGCAAATCCTTCCTGAAAGCATGTCCGATTCCCTTTTTGAACACACAGGAGAAAGTTTTTTGATGATTTCTCACTCACTTTTACTTTTCTTCTGCATAATTTGCTACATGATGACTGTTGTAGTCTACAACGTAAGTGGAATGTACGTTACGTCTTTTAGTTCCGCAATTCATAGAAATATCTATGAATCACTCAGAACTTCCGTTGTTTGGGTTCTTTTAGTGATCATTCACTATGCATTTCCAAACAGTGGATCTGGAGAAGGTTTATCTATTTATTCTCTCGTTGAATTGCTTGGATTCTTGATTTCAATACTCGGATCTTTCATTTATAACGAAGTTATCAAGATCAATTGCTTTGGATCCAACAAAGATAATAAGATTCCACTTTTGGCTGAAAATTAGTGTTTTATTGTTTTATATTTTTGTTTATACTATTTTAAAGAATGCGATACTATCTTATTTTTATTTTTGATTTTGCCTACAACTGCAGCTAGACGTGGATTCCAACATATTATATCTCTCTTTTATAATTTCTTCATCGTTCAATGTTTGAAATTCTTGACTCTTCCAATAATTTCAATCCTAATTGCGTTTTTTGGAGGTTATCACACATTTATAACTTGAACATACATTAAAATCAGGTTGTATATGAAAGAAAAACTATCTTCTACTAAACTAACAATAAAATCCATTATTTTGCTTAAATTATACATAAATCACCTATAAATAAAACGAAATGGAACGTAAACTAATGTTCTGCGCTAATCAAATCCGTTTTTAAAAATATAATTACATAAAATCCTAACCACAAGAAAAATATTGATTAATTATCCGATAGATTGCATGTTCAAATGCATGCTAATATTGCTTTATATTCAATACATACAAAATAGTAATAACATAACACTTATTCAATTCTTACAGGTATTTCTTTTGATCTATGCCTTAGTTGAGTATTTGGAAGTGGATAATCGTCAAATAAAGGTAATCTGTTTGTGGATAAAAATGGTTTTTCTGGAATTATAGTTTGAGAAGCAGTTTCTTCAGCTTGCTCTCTTTGTTTAATAATCTTCATAGACTCATTGAGAATCTTTGGTAACATTCTCGAAGATTCCCAATTCTGGAAAAATCTGTCTTCTGCCTTAATGCGCTCCATTATCTCCATTTTACGCATCTTAGCAGCAAATTTCTTAGGGTTTTGTTTGCTATCATCTGTAATTTTGCTTTCTGATTCTTCCAAAACTGTATTATGTGAAACAATCTTCTTTCGGAAGACGATAATCTTATCACCTTCGTTTATTTCATAATATCCCAAAGTGATTTCGTTGTTAAGAATCTTTCCCTTGTGAATCAATAAGATCTTAAAAGAATCATTGAAGCTAAGATTATTTTCTTCAATTATATCTCCAACTAGTTGGCTTTTGTTGACATTGATAGTGGTAGATTTGCCAGACATCTCTTCCAATCTGATATTCATGATAAATGAATTTTCAAGCTACTCTCTGAAAGTAATTTTCTGAGCTTTATCACAATTCTTGACGATTACCGAACATGAAAATTAATAGGTAATATGAAGAAATTACTATTTTTAAAGTTTTTCATTATGGAATAAAATTGTGAGTGTATTGATTGGCGTACTTTTTTTATCTTCAAAATCGAAAAAAATATTTCATTGTGCACTTTGCTTATATATTACATTTAAATGTAAAAAATTGAAAAGAAGACTGAAAAGTATAAAGTTGAAAAACTATATAGAAATTAACATCCTATAATGATTATTGGTCGAAGATTTAACTCAAAAATTTGTGGCTAATGTTCAATTTAAAAATATCTATCGGACTATAATAATTGAAAAATCAAATTTAAATATAAAAATTCGTTATCGCATTTTTTTGCGAAATATAACAAAACAAAAGAAATAAAATAAATATTGTACCATAAGTATAAATTTGACAGGAATAACATGTATTCAATTTTTTGCCTTTCGCACATCCTCCTTATTCGATTTGAAGATTAGTCGTAGTAACAGATATGGAAACATTTTTCCCGATTAATTTTCTGCAACTGCGATTCTTCAATTACACACGATGTTTTTTTCCGCAATACCAATACTTAAATTACATATTTATATCATAGTATATACATATTTGACAAAAACCCTCATAAAAACTATCAAGCTTATATCTACTGATGTTTTGCATCTTCAATTTTGATTCTAGGTCTATAATTATTCACAAATATATCAGAAATCATCCATATACAATTTGAGATACCACAAGAGATGCATCTAACGGTATCAAAGCTATTCCACAAAAATCAAAATCATAACATAATAAGAGTAATGAATCGGCAAACCCAAATTTTAGCTAAAAGTGACAGGGAAAAAAAACGTTTAGTATTAAAAAAAAGACCGATGAGAGCTTCGTTCGAAATATAGAGGGAACTGAGAATGCGCAACCATTCTCAGGGAATATTGGATGCTATTCCCGTTCCCTCTGTATGGAAAATTGTGGTTTTCAAAGGGAGTTAAAATAATATCAAATTTATACTAATTTACTTCAAAATACAAAAGTATTTGACAGCTAAAATTAGTTACTTTAGCAAGCCTATCAATACCCTTTTACGATTATTGCTACTTTTTCGAAATAAAAGTAAAAACAAATTTATACTAATTTACTTCAAAATACAAAAGTATTTGACAGCTAAAATTAGTTACTTTAGCAAGCCTATCAATACCCTTTTACGATTATTGTTACTTTTTCGAAATAAAAGTAAAAACAAATTTATACTAATTTACTTCAAAATACAAAAGTATTTGACAGCTAAAATTAGTTACTTTAGCAAGCCTATCAATACCCTTTTACGATTATTGTTACTTTTTCGAAATAAAATAAATTTATTATCAAAAACCTTTTTTTCTTAGTAAAAATAAACGAAATTTTTTACCTTATGAACTTTTGATGGAAATATGCAAATTTAAAATAATAAAGAAAGCCGCGAGCGAAGCGATCGGCTTAGTTCGAAGATTTTGATTCAAATCTTTGCTGATCTGTAATTCGCGGAAGCCGCGAGCGAATCGAGCGGCTTAGGTCTAAGATTTTGATTCAAATCTTTGCTTATATTCCTTAAATTCTTTATGAAACTCGCAACAGTTCCATAAAAAATTTTAAATTCTAAACTGTCGAAATTACCGATCGGTAATCACACCCTTCATGAGTGTGTCACTTTTTACAGGCATGTCACTTTTAGCTAAAATTATCCCTACTCACAACAATTCTCCAACAAACAAATCTATATACAGAAGCAGACCGCGGATCAACAATCATTCAGCTTCTTTATCCAAAAACTGAAGTCACTTTTATTGATTTCAATGTTGGACAATTCATGGAAGTTTCATATTCGTATTATGGAAAAGAAAAAAGAGGTTTTATCATACAAAGTTCCACAAAATATTACAACGATACATATGGCGGCAAAAATTACGGTGAAAGAGCTATCAGTCTCGTTCGAGAAAAATTAGGTTGCGAATATGTTTGGGCAATGCAAGGCCCAGATACATTTGACTGCTCCGGATTGATGCAGTGGGCATACAATGTCCTTGATGTCTATATCCCACGCAATGCAGACCAACAGTCAGAGTTTGGAAAGAAATTGGCTGATAAGAAAGACTTACTTCCAGGCGATTTAGTTACTTTCTACACGTCTACAAGCAGACCAAACGATGTAACTCACGTTGGAATGTACGCAGGAAATGGAAAGTTCATTCACGCGTCTAGCGCTTACGAAAAGGTTGTTGAGATGGATCTCGACACATATCCTTATAAGATTGCTTCCATGAACCGTTGCTGGTAGAGATTTTAAAATATTTTCCTATTATATTTTGATGTTTTGTTAGTTTTAATTCATCTAAACAATTCATATATGTATTCTCAAAAACATTCAGATTTTTAAAATGAAAGATTACTTTTAATCTGATAATTGTTTGTTATGAATCTGAGGAAAAACAAATTCAGAAGACTTCAAATAAGCTTCTAAGATTTTCACATTATTCCCCAAATCCACTATATTTGCTTTGAATTTTCATATAATTATATAAATTTCAAATTATTTCCAACAAAATAGTCATAGGTCAGCATTATTCATAGAGGAAATAGTCATAGGTCAGTGTTCATGCAAAAAATTAAAAAATAAGCGTTAATTTAGTATAATATCATATCAAACATTTATTTAAAGTTTTCTCTGAAGTATTGATCGAAAATCTTATAAGAGATTGTTTCTTTGATTGGCTTGAGTTGTGCTTTTTCTTTCATCTTCTTGATTTTATTGATATAAGAAGAAACAAAATTAGAGTTATCATCATTTTCCTCTTTTTCCTCTTCTTCAATTTCTATTGATTCATCCAATGGAATGAACTCTGGGAAAATAAAGAGATTTGTATCTGCTTCTATATCATCAATACTTCGACTATTATGAGTTTCTACTGAATGAGAAGATTCATTCGTTTCTTTTTCTTCATTTTCTATTTTTTCAACAAAATTCTCGAATTCTTCTGTAAATTCAACACTTTCATTCGGATTATTATCTATCCACTTTTCTTGATTTTCTTCTTCTGCTTCATTCATTGGTGTTTCTTCTGGTTCTTTATGTGATTCTTCTTGAGCTAATTTGCTTTCTTCATTTTCTGGTTTGGTAATGTTTATTTCTTCTTTATTTTGTTCTTCTTTCGCTGTGATTTCTTTTATTGAGTTGATTTCTTCGTTGTCAATTTGGAGATTTTTAGGTTCAATTATTTCATCAATTTCCAAATTTCCAATTTCTTCTGTTTCATTCAAGTTTGTTACTTCGTCATGAGTTTGGCTTTCGTTCACGAAAACAACAGAAGTAGACTGAGAGTTCTCATTGACAATCATGTTGTTTATTTGTTCTATTGTTAAGTTATTTTCGTTTGCTTTTTGCTTCTGTTCGTATTGATCCTGAAGAACTTTGAATTTCGTTGTTGCGAAGTTGTTTTTGAGAATTAGGTTGTCATTAAATGATTTTGCTTCTTTTTCTGGATCGAAAAAGTGAATTTTGAATTCAGAAATATCGAAGTTCTCAGAATTTTCTACTTCATTTTCTTTTTCTTCAGTTTGGAACGAAATTTCAGGAGTTATTTCTGATTTTTCGTGGTTTTCTTCATCCATAAGATTTTCTGTTGGGAAAGAAACGTTGACTGATTCTTTTTCCTTTTCATCATCTGAAGAAAAGAAGTTGCTTAAATTATCTGTTTTGAGTTCGGAAGCATTTTCAGTTGGGAAAGAAACATTAAATTCTTCTGTTGGGAAAGAAATTCCGAATTCATTTTCTTCTTTTTCTTCTAATTGGTTCTCATTATTTTCATTTTGAAGTTGATTTTCTGTTTCATCTTTTGTTTCTTCTTGATTTTCAGAATGGAATTGATCTTCTGTTGGGAAAGAGATTTCGATTTCCTCTTTATTGATTGAAGATTCTTGTAAATCACTAATTTTTGTTTCTGATTTAGTTTTTTCTTCTGTTGTATTTTGAGTTTCTTCTTTTTCATTTTCATCGAAATCGAAGAATCCTCCCAAATTTTCTGTTTCTGGTTTGGAAATATTAAATTGAAATTCTTCTGGAAAAGAAGGATTGAATTCTTCTTTCTGAATCAAAGATTCTTGTAATCCACTTATTTTTGTTTCTGTTTTAGATTTATTTTCTTCTTTTGATTTTTCTTCAAAATGAAGATCAGATGGAAAATCAAATTCTTCATTTTTAATTGATGATTCTTTCATTTCACTGATTTTAGTTTCTGTTTCATTATTTTCAATTTTATCTTTTTCATTTTCATCGAAATCGAAGAATCCTCCCAAATTTTCTGTTTCTGGTTTGGAAATATTAAATTGAAATTCTTCTGGAAAAGAAGGATTAAATTCCTCTTTTTCGATTAAAGATTCTTGCAAATCATTGATTTTTGTTTCTGTTTCAGAGTGATTTTCTTCTTTTGAATTATCTTCGAAATGAATTTCTGAAGGAAGAGAATTAGTATTTTCTTCACTTTTAATTAATGACTCTTTCATTTCGCTAACTTTTGTTTCTGTTTCATTATTTTCAAATTTATCTTTTTCATTTTCACCAAAATCAAAGAAACCACCCAAATTATCTGTTTCAGATGTTGATTTATCTCCAAATTGATCTTCAGCTGGGAAGGAAGGATTGAATTCTTCTTTCTGAATCAAAGATTCTTGTAAGTTACTTATTTTTGTTTCTGTTTTAGATTTATTTTCTTCTTTAGATTTTTCTTCATAATGAAGATCAGATGGAAATTCAAATTCTTCATTTTTAATTGATGATTCTTTCATTTCACTGATTTTAGTTTCTGTTTCATCAAAATCGAAAGATCCTCCTAAATTATCTGTTTCTTGTTTTGAAATCTCATTATTTAATTGATCTTCTGTTGGGAAAGAAGGATTGAATCCATCTTTATCACTTGTTTTAATGTTTTCTTCTAAAGATTGAAAAGATGGTTTAATTTCTTCTGTTTTAATTGATGATTCTTTCATTTCACTTATTTTTGTTTCTGTTTCATTCTCATCGAAACTAAAGCATCCTCCTAAGTTATCTGTTTCTTTTTCACTGTTTTCAAATAAAGAATTGTTCTCTTCTTTATTGATTATGGGTTCATCAAGTTTAGTTTCTTCCTTCTTTTCGTCATCAAATGAGAAAAATCCTCCCAAATTATCATTTTTGTTTTCATCAAATTGAAAAGAAATTGTTTGATTTTCTTCTTTTTTGATCAAAGATTCTCCAAAATCAGAAAATTTTGCTTCAGATTTTGTTTGATTTGATGAATTTTCTTTGTTTTCACTTTGTTCTTCAATTAAATTCAAATCTACATCTCTTGAAACAGCATTATTTATCTCGTTTTCTTCTTCAGAATCGTTATCTTTAGAGAGAAGATCAACAACTTCCATTCCTTCAAACTCTTTATCATCTCCAAACTCCCATTTAACTTCTTCTTGATTTGTATTATCTTCATCAGAAGAAAAGAATGTTTTTATATTATTTGTTTCTGATTTTGTATTTTCAAACAAAACTTTTTCTTCTAGTTTCTTCTGGTTTTCTTCTTCTTCCTCATTTATTTTCCTTTGTCTCTTTAATTCTTCTTTATGTTTTTCCCCTTCAATTCTCTCTTCTTCTAATTTTCTCTGCTTTTCTTCTTTTAATTTCTTTTCTTCTTCAATTTTCTTTTGTTCTTCTTCTTTTTCTTTCTGTTTCTGTAATTCCTCTCTTTGTTTTTGTTCTTCAAGTTTTCTCTTATTTTCTAATTCTTCTTTTTGTCTTTTTTCTTCTTCAATTCTCTTCATCTCTGCAATTCTTTCTTCTTCCAATTTCTTTTGTTCCTCCAACATTTTCTGTTTTTCTTGCTCTTCTCTTAATCTCTTTTCTTCTTCGATCCTCTTCATCTCTTTCAGTCTTTTTTGTTCCTCCTCAATTTCCTTTAGTTTTTCTAATTCCTCTCTTCGCTTTTCTTCTTCAATTCTCTTTTGTTCCTCCAATCTTCTCTGTTCTTCTTCTTCCAATTTCTTTTGTTTTTCTTCTTCAATTCTCTTCTGTTTTTCTTCTTCAATTCTCTTTTGTTCCTCCAATCTTCTCTGTTCTTCTTTCTGTTTTTCTTCCATTCTTTTCATTTCTTCAATTCTCTTTTGTTTTTCTTGTTCTTCTTTTCTCTTTTTTATTTCATCTAATTTTCTTTGTTTTTCTATTTCTTCTTTCTGTTTTTTCAAATTTTCTTTTTCTAAGTTCTTATTAAACTGAATTAAGTTATTTGTTTCTTTCCTTTTAGTCATATCAAAGCTTATTAAGTCATTACTATTATGCCGTTGTTTGTTTTGTTGTTTTTGAGGTATTTTTGGAATTGAAAAGTCAATTAAATTCATTTCATTCTTTGGCTGCGAAGTAGCAGAGTCAATAAAGAGAAGAGGTTGGTTAGAAGCAGATTTCTTGTTGAAAACATCAAAATCTGGATCTGAATTAGAATTTGATAAAATATCTAATGAAGGATTTGATTGTACTGCTTTTTGGGATTGAACCTGATCAAGTAGTCCAAAAATATCATTAGAATTCTGTTTTGTTTCAGTTTGTTTCGATGATGAGATATTTTCTTGAAAAGAGAGTAAATCTTTTGGCTTTTTAAAGACATCAAAGTCAGGATCATGATATTCTTCATTTTGAGCAGGTTTTTCTGTTAAAAATGGAGAATTATCTGGTTTTGTATTTTCAAGACCGAGAAATGCATCAAAATCATTAGAACTTTGTATATTTTGAGTCGTGCTCGTCGGATTGATCTGATTTATTTGTGATTTTAAGATTGATTCAAAATCAAATTTTGGAATTTCTTCGTTTTTCTGAGAATTAGTTTTTAAATTCATCTGATCAGTAGTAAAATCTTGCATTACTGACATCGGAGATGGTCTAAATTGAAACCAGGCAGCTGAATTATTTGGATTTTGATGGAAAACAACTTGTTCAGGTGGATGACCAAAAATTTCTCTTGGGTCCACATTAGTGGTGCCCGGTATTGATCGTGGAAATTGACCATTTGAATTATTGAACATTATGAAAATTTCTCTAAAATTTTAGGGGGTAACAAAAATTTTAAGGGTACAAACTAATTATAGAAAATTAATTCGATCTAATGCTATATTACTATAGTTTTCATGTTTTATTTTTTTTAAAAAATCAACTTAAATTCTTAATAAAAATTATGAATTTTTATTTCGGGCTAAAAATTGCAGATGCTCTACAGATTCCTTGCTAAAACTTCAATTGGCGTAAAAATGAGGATTTTCAAACATGGAATTTTACTAAGAAATCAAACAAAAGAAAGTAACAAGTTTCTAGCAAGAATTATATCCTGACCACAAGCCATATATATCTGTACAGCATCCTTTTTATTGAAGCCTTCCAAAATCAAATGATTAAGAATTTCAATATCATTTTCCTGGAATTCTGGTTTGAAATGCATAATATCAGCTGGTGCGTCAACTGGAATTTCAGTAATCTTGTTAAAATCTTCTTCAAACTGTTTTTCGTCAAAATCGCCAATTTCTGGAATTGAATCATCAAATAAATAATTTGCAGCTCGATCAACATTATAGCTAGATGCTATAAGTGCCTTGATACATTTTTCTTTTTCAAATCCAAGATTTTCTAATTTTGAGATCATTTTTTCATAATTCTTTGGTTTCTTTACAGAGGAGCGTGGAGGTATATTAGATTTCTTGTGTTGTACTTTCGGTGTTGGAATTTCTCTTTTTGAAATTAAATTTTGAATTTTTTCGTGTGGTAAGTTGTAAATCAAGAGATATTCATTTGGTTTGATATTTAATTCGGATAATATCGTATTTTCTGAAAGTAATGATGCTTTGTAGAATAATGAGAAAAATTGAGATTCTAAACCTTTGATTAGAGCAATTTGGTCTTTAACTTGTTTGATTGTTATGCTATCATTCACGTCAAGGTCGGTAATCTTTCCACTAATAGAGCGGCAGAGCAAATGCATTTCTGTCCTAAGAAAAATGATTGAAAATTTCCATCGAAATTTTTTTCCTCGAAAATTTTTCAATTTGAATAGTCGCGGGATTCAAAAAGTTTGGCAGCCAATTCTCGAAAATGAATCATATCACAAGTACATTCGTTTTTCAAAAAGTACAAAAATTTTGGATAAATTTTCAGCACATTGAATTTGATACGTTTCAAAATTTAGATTAGAAATTCCCGAAATTTTTTCGGCAAAAATTCTTCATCATTTTATTATTCAGTATTAGATAAATACAAAACCAAGCCTAATTTGTAATAAACAGAAATTCATCAAAAGTGACAGCTCTCAATTTTTTGACATTTGTAAATTCTAAATTGAATGAGAAAAATGAAATAATACTAAGCATAATACAATATTCTAGATTTAATTATAATTAGGAAAAAGTTAGTTTTGAGAGTACTTTTCATAGGCATATAGAATGAAATCTTCTGAAAAATAATATCACATAAACTCATATTTTTTCTAATATATAACTATTTTATACAAAAATCAAATTCAATGATCTTAAAAGCGAAGGATAACCCTCAAAATTTACGAATATAATGAGTGGGAATATAATGCTTATCTATCATAAAACCATATGAAATATCAATTTTGCTTTACGCCTAATTTTGACGACAATTAGCAAAAAATGTTAAATGTTAACACTCAGTCCATTTGAATATGAAAAATAAAATTGACTTTGATTAAATGTTTTTATTTATCATGCAATTCTTCTTGCGACCAAAGATTTGAATAAAGTTCAAAAAATAAGATAGCTTAAAAATAATATACGGTAGTGTTTACTAATAGATGAATAGTATATAAATTCTATTAAAATGGATTTGATCCAAAAAAATATAAAACCAAAAATAATTGTTATAATTTAAATGAAGAAGTAATTTAAAACGATTTTATTTATGATCAAATTTTATATATTTTTTTGGATCAAATCCATTTTAATAGAATTTATATACTATTCATCTATTAGTAAACACTACCGTATATTATTTTTAAGCTATCTTATTTTTTGAACTTTTATTCAAATCTTTGGTCGCAAGAAGAATTGCATGATAAATAAAAACATTTAATCAAAGTCAATTTTATTTTTCATATTCAAATGGACTGAGTGTTAACATTTAACATTTTTTGCTAATTGTCGTCAAAAATTAGGCGTAAAGCAAAAATTGATATTTCATATGGTTTTATGATAGATAAGCATTATATTCCCACTCATTATATTCGTAAATTTTGAGGGTTATCCTTCGCTTTTAAGATCATTGAATTTGATTTTTATATAAAATAGTTATATATTAGAAAATAATATGAGTTTATGTGATATTATTTTTCAGAAGATTTTGTGTTCTTCTTCAAAATTTTATTTTTTTATTAAAAAGAATCTTTACAAAATATACATTTACTTTAATTAATATTTAAAAACGTGCTCTATCAAAAGTTCCAAAAATTCAATATTTTAGCTTTTCTGAGGTGTCACTTTTGATGAATTTCTGTTTACAACAAATTCGTTTAAATTCCAAATGTTTTTTTATTTCAATTTTTGATTTTGCCTAAATTCTTAAATCACATTGCAGCTGATATAGTAGTACATTTGCTATTATTTAAGCACAAATTAAAGGACTTCAAGAAAGATGATTTCAATATCTATTTGAAGATCAATAAAACAAAGCAGTATAAAAATGTTAATTCATGTTTAATATCTAATATTAAAGATAAATAAGAAATAGACAATATATATTTTCTATTCCGCAATATTCTCAATTTTTGAATAGAACTCTAAGAATTTACGGAAAGAAAATAAAACAATTAATTAAAGTTGAATTTTTTGATGAAATTCACGACCAAACCATTATTTTCTGCTTTTGCCTTTTGCAATATACTCATTACAGCATCATGGGTTTTACCATACTTTGTCAGACCCTGAAATGCAAAATCATTTTGCGTATTAATGGCTTTCTCGAGGAGTTCAGTACTCACATCATAATCATCAGGAAGAATGTCAATATTTGCCTTGAACAGCAATTCGACGATACCTTCCTCAGAATAATTTTCTTTGTTTTGGGATATCGTGGCAGAATAATCGTCACTTTTTTGGCAAACTATTTGAAGTATTTCATTTTCGAACTCACTTTTGCTTTTCTTCTTCAAAATTTCTGCCAGACAGAACTGGGAATGCGTGATTTTGAATATTTCCATCAAGAAACTGCAATCTAAATAAGGATATAGCTCTTTTCTCCAAATGATCTTGTTCCCCGACTTTACAACATCCGTTGTCATCTTTTCGGCAATGAGTTGGGCACTTTTGGTGTCAATAATGTGATCTTCAAGATAATTTCCGATATTTTCGAATGGAGTTGACTTAACAATGTCAAAACATATCAACTTTTCTCTGTTTTCGACATCGGAAACAATTATATTGATCTTTTGTGGCATATTTTTCCTCATATAATTTATTTCGTCTTCAAATAGAGTAACATTCTTCAGATACGATGTATTATCTTGGTTTTCGCCAAACATCCTGATATTCATGTGGAATCTCATGTCGTTGTTATTGGCCATTGAAACAATCAAACTCTGGATGTTGTTGTTAACAATTTCCGCTGTCAAGAGCTTTCTCTCTTCAATAGTGAACTTCCTCTTATCAAAATATTTGGAGAAATCAAACTTTTTGATAAAATTCAGAGCGAAATTGAATCCAAAGACATTTTCGAACTGATCCGAGACGATAACAGACTGGAGAAGATTATTTTCGTCTAGATTTTTGAATCCAATTCGTTTGAAATATTCAAAAATATCTTTGTTTGGAGAATTAGGTATTGCAATAAGAAAAACACACTCAGGGGTAAGTTTTTCTAATAATTTGGTGGAGATTTCAAGCTTCGGAATCTCAAATTCATAATCCAAGATATATTTGCACAAAACATTGATATAAAGCTGATTCTCAGCGTATTTCTGATCAAATATCTGTAGAATTAATGATTGGTCTTTCGTTTTGATGTATTTCAGGCATAATTGCTGATAATCAAAAAGGGAAAGAGGAAATTCCAATGGAAGACTTAGTTTCTGATCAACAAGTGTAGTCAAATTAGGATAATTTAGCTTTGCCTGCATCAATAACTTGCTATCCAGTTTAGTTATGTCACAAAACGGAGAATTTAAGAAGAATTCAATAAAATAAACCTTTCCTCGATGCAAACATTTTGAGAATGCGTAGTTCAGGTCCTTTATGTCCGATAAATCCCATTTTTCCATGATCAATTTTGATAATTTCTTAAAATGACAGTCAAGATAGAGCTGGAATGGGTTGACACAGCGCAAAACCAGTTCACCTAACATATTGTCAAGCTTATCTTCAATAAATGGCTTGAAAAACTCAATAGAAAGCTTTCTATAATCGTATTTAAAAATATCCTCAATGGTGATGTATTGCGGATTCGATATCTGAGAGTACCAAAAGAATTTGGAGAATATTTTGTTGTGAATAAATGAAATTGCTGCAGATGGGGTATTAATTTTGAAGCCATTTGTAATAAGTCGCTGGATAATCTGTTGATTTCCTCCTGCAATAGCAGCTTCCACGTTTAATAAATCACTTCCCGCTTTGAATAAGAAATTAAAAATTTTTGAAGCACCAAGGAAAGCAGCTAGATCAATTTTGTTGACGCAATTAGGGAAAGTAACAGTATCGTTTGTCATATTTTTAACACGTTTCATATAAATCGTATTCTGGAAAGAATTAAGATCATCATAAAAGAAAATTTCAATGTCTTCAATATTAGTATAGATGTCCTGATCGACAAATCTCTCAAATATGTTGAATTTCTTTGCAACTTCTTGCTTGAAGAATGGATTTGCTCTTTGAATAATTAAGAATTGCAATTTTTCGTCCAAACAAGAGAATAACTTAACATTTTCGTGAACTTTCTTTGGTCTAACTTTGCATATCTCTGCAAATACATGCGCACTAAGATTTAAATGATCTTTTGAAAATGTTTTGAATTTCTGAATCTCATCGTTAGTATAATCATTATCATTGCTTAAGATAGATTCGATTTCGCTGAGCTTGGCCAATTCTTGGGGAATTGTCCCATTCCTTATTCTCATTCTGAAATAAAACGTCACTTTTTATAATTCAATGATTGCGATCAGTATTTAATTATTGTATAATTCAATACTGAATTTACTTTGAAATTTCGCAAAAATAAAAATATGGCAGATTTTTGAATTCACCTTGTCTCCATTTCAAATAACGACTCGAATAACATTTTGCTTTGCTTTCAGTATTACATCTTTTTTAATTTATCAGAAAAACATTTCTGGTTGAAATTTCAAAGATTTCATCTTTGCTTACCAGAAACAGTGTAATATTTTATACACATTAGTTTTAACACTTTGTATTCAAGTTTACTGAATTACATTCAGTTTTTTTCTGATATTCAGAAGAATGATTTCAAAAATATTTGTCAAGGTAATTTTGATACCATAAATTTATGCCATTTCATATAATCATATTATAGTAATTCTACATTTTATTTATGGTATTCTCGAAGTTATAACAATACATGATAAATCATAAAAAATCGTGATTTTTAAAAAACAAAATAAAACAATAAAAAATTACATATAAAAATTAGACTTCTCCATTAGTATAAATATCATCATCTTCACCAGGATCTGATGCAAAACCTGCATCAAAGTCTTCATCATCTTCTTCATGTGTTGTCAAAGAGAAATTGTTTGTCACATTGGGAGTCTCAACAGCAGGTTCTGCAATTGTTTCTGGGATTTTTCCAATGTCTTCATCATCCAATTCAGCGTAAGAATCAGAGAAACTTGCGCTGTCTTTCGTTCTTCTGTAGAAATATATGCCAAGTAGACCTAAAGCAAGCGCCATTGCGAGTCCGATTGTTACCAACAGAATGACTTTTCCGATAGAAATGTTGCTTTTTCCGACACTTTCCGAGTCTTGGTCTACATAAATCATAGTTTCTGTATTAACATAAGTGAAAGTAGTGAACACAACTACAGTGTCAGAGAAAACAAACGTCGCAGATTGAGTCATTGTTCCATTATCTTCAACAGTTGTATTCGTCTCAACGTAAGTTGTTGAAATTGTTTCTGTCTGTGTTTCACTTACAACTGTTGTCGAAGATTTCGTCATTGTCTTCTTTTCGCCGCTGATTTCTTCATATGTTGTGATTGTTGTATTAGTCTTTGTAGAGGAATACGAGTAAGTATACAACTCTCTTGTGTAAGTGAATTCATATCCATTGATGTTTGTCGACAAAACAGAGTTAGTTTTTACGTAGTACATTCTCCAAGTATCAGTTTCAGAAAGAGTCTGTACTGAAGTTAGTATGGTTATGTTGGGTACGGCGGCACTGCGTTCCACCTTACTCAACATAACCTTAAATATTTACAAAGCGCCCACCCACTTCACTTCACTAACGAACTCACTAATGTAAAAATAAACGTTCTCACTATCGTTCTCACTAACGACTTCACTAATGTTCTCATAAATTTTCCTCAATATCTTCATCATCAGTGTTAACCCTATTGTAGTCATACTTGAAGCCATAAACTTTCTCTAACTTCTTAACGTACAATTTACATAACTTACCTTCGTCATCGTATGGTTTAATGATAATAACTATTTCTATCTTTATACACAGTCAATGAAAAGTCAACTGGTCTCGATGTATTTGAAAGAAACATGTTTATGCTCAGGAGGAGAATAAATGTTTAAATGTATGTTTGTTATATGTTTTGATTTGTATGAGTTGCTTTTGTTCTGTCATTTATATAAAAATAAACTTAAAAATAAAATAAAAATAAACGTTGTCAGAGGTGAAAAAATAATGTTTATGTTAGAATGTTAAGATCTAACACGTTTTCTAACACGTTTTCTAACCTTGTGAATTCATTACTTTATAACTCTCTTCCTTTCTCCAACTCTTCTAACTTCTTCTTAAGTTCAGCAATGTTGTCCTCATGAAGTTTAATTTTTTCTCAAAAATTCCTTCTCTATCTAATGGTTGCTTTATCTTTCTAAACTGAACTCTACCATCCTTCATAGTATGAACGTAAAAACCTTCTGGAATAGTTCCTGATTTAATGTATTCTACCAAAAATTTTTGTTTCATTGCTTCCAGTGACTTTAGTCGTCATTTTACTCTAAATAAAATGTTCAAATAAAATAAAACTAACATTATTTTTTCAGTAAGGAAACGCAGGAGTTTTTACGATTTATTTGAGGAGTAGGTTCTGGTTTAAATGTTGGAGTCGGTTTTGGAGTTGACTTTTGAACAGGAGTTTGTACTTCCATAGGTTCAGGAGTCATTGAAGGTGTTGTTTGTGAAGGTGTTGGTTTTGACGTTGTTTTGGCGAAGGTGTCGGAGTTTGTTCAAATTAGCTACTTCAGTATTATTTATAACATTTGCTTTGTTTCTTTTCAACATCATAACTGCTCCTGCTGTAGCAGCAAACCTAGTGGGAGACCATATTTTATATAAGGACTTGACCAAATGCTATTTTTGACAGGAGCTGGTGGAACACCTAACCTTGGTGAAACTGCTCTTTGCCATTGTGCAGCTCGTAAGAAATATCAATAGGTGCTCCTAATCGTTTGGTAAAGTTTGTTTCATAGATGGTGAAGGTTCACGAGAGCTTGATGAAGAACTCATTTATAAGCTTTAAAAATAAACGTTCATCCTTTATTCCTCACTATCGTCCGTAGCTAAGTTATAGTCATCTAATCTTATTATTGGGATTCCATTAGCACGCACCTGAATGGCAAAGCAACAATCCCTCATAAATCCAATAAGTGGCTTTGGTACGTTTTCAGTTCTAGTTCAATAGGTCCTTTAACAGACAATTTGTATGTTATTGGAGCAGTAGATGTTTGACCTTGCTGGAAGCAAAAGTCCACTTCTGTTGGAAAAACCACATAAGAAATGTTGTTTGTCATAGCTATCCCATTTATGTTCCACACTACCATCATCCACCAATGACCTCATAACATCTTCATTAAATCCAATCATATCATTGTTTGTATTGCAAGCGTTCGCAACCATTTCATAAAATACAGGTCCATATGATTTTTTCAGGTTCTGCAGGCATATTTCCTAAGCTCCCATGGAAAGCTGAGAATATTAAACTTAGGGTTCTCAAAATTAACATAATAGTTGTCTTTCTTTCTAAATAGTGCCCAAATACTTTTAACATTAATAGGCGTATAAGCTGCTGTAAATGTTGCACTTGAACTATCTGTATTCTTTGAGAATGAACCGTCCATAGGAAATCCAATCCATAACTTTAACAGGAAAACATAAAGCCTCGTTTGTATAATGTTCTACAAGTTCTGTATAAATGTTAGGGTCTAAAGAGAATGACTTTGGATGAATGAAACATTCATTAAAATCCATCTTTGTTCGAAATAGTTGCTGGTTACAGTTGTAATAGTAACTGTTCCACTAGCTTCTATTGCCTTCGTTATCATAGTGAATGGTTCATTCCATGGAACAAATTTATTTGTCGGTGATTTGAATCTGAAGCAAATGCAACTTTAAGAGTTGGATTGAAAGCAATGATATCATTTACAGATATAGATGTGCATTGTAAGGCGTCGCTACTGAACTTTACTTTAAGCTGAATGTTTCCTGCAAAAGCTGGAATAAATCGAATAGCTTCTAATGGAAGGAATCTTCTAACAGGAATTCTTAAACGAAGCTTAAAATCAAAATGATTTTCCTGCTGTAATTGGACCACTAACAATTTGTCCTGTTCTGCATGTTCCCGAATGACTCCATACATCTATCATGTCGAGTCTTTGAGAAAAACATCTACTTTCTTTATTTGTTCGGTAGTTTGTGAGTTTGAAGTTATATATGCTTCTTCTCTTGCGTTGTCTTGAGAATATACGATACGACCATTTGCAAGGATTTGATATCCAGCAACTGCATAGAAAGCGTCATCGAAACCAATCCAAAATCCTGGTGGGTTTGTTTTATTGGAACCTGAACCAATTTCTTTATCTGCAATAAATTGACCTTCCATTTTATACGTAATGAATGTATTGTAAAGGTCCAACATATTTTCACCAGGAGGTGAGAGATTGAATGTTACCCATGTGTTATCTTTAGCAGTTCCAGGTTGTGATGGAATTTTGCGTCAGAATATTTTCTATTAGTGTCACCAATTTGAACTGCATTGTCTATGATATCGAAAATATGAGCGAATCTGATGAATATGCTCTGCTGGAGTAAATTCGTTTAGCTGTTCGTTCTGCATGTATTTACTTCAGATAAAAATATCTATTTACTTCATTATTCTACTCTTTCTTCTTGGTATTCGTGGTGGAAGTTGTTTCTTGACATTTTCAATGAACTGTACATTCTCTTTTGTCTCAACTTCTTTCACTGGCGGGTCAGGGTTCTTTGACTCGGTTTGTTTTCAATGAAATTCACGAACTTTGCAATAAGCTCTTGGTTCGTTATTGAAAGTACATCTGGCTTCTTTTCTTCTGGTTCTATTGACTTTTCAGTTTGAACAGAAGGTTTTATATGGGCTTCGTGGACTTCACCCTTGCCATGTACCTTAATGTTGTCGCTCTCTGCATTCGCTAATGGTACCTTTCTTTTTCTTACGTATATTTTACCATCTTTACTCTGACTTACGTAATAGAAAGGATGTTGTATTCCTCTTGCGTCATTTAATATAATAGACTCTCGCTCTGATTTTGACAAGCTCATTTTACATCGGTTAAAGTTTTAATTTAGTTTTTTATCTGCAGTCAAATGACTCAGACAAGCCCTACGGACAAGACCCAAGGTGTCATAGATGTTTGAAGCATTGAAGAAGAAAATTCGCGAGCAAATTTTATTCCGAACTGAAGGAACAAAAAAACAGAACAAAAGCCAGAGAGACCAAAGAGAAAACTTAGTGAAAAACAACTTGCTGCATTAGCTGCTGGAAGACAAAAGACCCAAGACTACTGCCAAATCGTGTATTGTTCATTTCATCTCAGTAAAAACTTTACATTCCCCACGTTTGAGGCGGTTGAGGTTGGTTATTGTTTACCCATTGTTGTGCATGGTTATATCCTC